GGTAAAGGATATGCTTCTACAAATTTCGATAAGTCACATTGCGATGTCCCGCATTTAACATGCGTGTTAAAGAGTCCACAGGACTTTGTAACCATTTTTCACTTTCTCTTTGTTTAAGACTGTTAAGTATCCATACCTGGTCCTCATCGACTTGTCCCCACGAAGCAGCTATAGCTCTAAACACGTCCACGTTAGACTTCATGATGCGCATCAAGACCTCGTCTTCGCTGTAATGTGTGAGAATTCGCATTTCCAGCTGGCAATAGTCTGCTGAGACCAGTGTGTAGCCTGGCGCCGCGCGGAAGATGCGTCTGGTAAATTGCAGTGAAGACATGAAGATAACAAGTTTGGAAGTTTGGTTCTTTTAAGTACAAACAAATTATCCGATTCTTTGACAAAAGACGACAGGGCTATGCGTGAGCAGACGAAGCAAAGGAAATTACTAATGTTCACTTCTTCAAAACCCGGAAGTCACCACACTTATCAGCTTAAGCTGGTCAGCTTTCTGTCTGTGCAGTAAGAACGAAAAAGACGTGCATTTTGCTTCACTTCGGATGGCTCAAGCCAATCGGCTTTGATCAGTGTGACAACTCCTAACATATGATTATAAACGGCTTTACTTGTTATTTAAATAAACATATGTTTTTTTAAATAACAAGTAAAGCCGGAATACTCACTAGTAAACTGTAACCGTAACATGTCACCAAAAGTCATAGTGTGTGCGTGGTTCGCGGACTTGCCGCGAGCGGTACGCGTGCAGTTCGCAGTGATCCGATTATAACCAGGATGAGATTGAAGATGAGGATTATAACTCATTCTAGTCAGTGAAGACTGTTTCACGTGTTCACTCTAGAACCTCGTTACTGTATCTGTCACGTCACAATTACAACTCGGTAATGCGTACCCGGTTTTATGTAAGGCTACTAATGGATTGACTGCATGCAGGTAATGCGTAAAGTCGTTATCAACTTCATGCCAATCGTGCTCTCGGCTACATGAAATTAGTTACGGCTTCACGCATCACCTAATTGCAAACATGCAATCAATCTGTTAGCAGCCTAACTGGGCAGGTTACAACCAGTATATGGCTACGAAAGGGCTATAAACAATAAATTCAATCATGTGCTCACTGCCCTATGGGTTCATTAACACGTTTATGACTATAATCGCGGCAAACTTTTCGACGACTCTCTAAATGGGTCTTACCTGCAATTAAACTCAATTATATCTCCGGAGAGTTGTGTATTTGACAGATATTCAGCAGGTACTGTGAAGGTACGTGGCACACTCTGCAGATTTGGATCATGCATGCTGATTCTACCCGTGTTTGTGTACATCGTGTACGACGGGGTTATCCTACGAGAGAAATATTATGTAATATAAAAAAGACGCGTGGAAAGTCTGTCAAATGGAAATGACAAACTGACAAACTGTATATGAAGAACACATTGATATACGTAATTTCACAACTCATCGTGTGTCTATTTTTGACCGACTTCAAAAAAGGAGGAGGTTCTCAATTCGACTGTTTTTTTTGTATGTTTGTTACGCAATGGCATTTGTGTACCGATTTTGATGATTATTTTTTTGTTGGAAGGAGGGTACCACAGTAGTGGTCCCATTTAAATTTGAATAAAGTAATCCACTCCTATGAATGACTTTTGAGGTCGGTTTTTTGTAGTACTCTGTACTGAGATTATTATAAAAACGACATTCAAACATTTACCAAATTAAACTATTTTTCCGGATTTAACTCACGTGTATTTGTTTTTTCGAACAAACCAACGTTTAGAGCTCTTTACAGGTCCCATGGTCACGGTTGACTGAGATGGTACAGTCATCACCAGGCCAGGTATGTCTAATATTAATAATGTTAGTGCGGTCTCTCTTATATTGGACAAACGAAGCGAAGTATTTGTACCCGCGTCAAAGAACATATAGCTGATGTCAAACACCGTTGCGTAAACAAGTCTGCAGTCTGCGAGCATGTCATGGATAAAACTACACGTTCAATGAAATTTGACAAACCCCAGGTTCTTGCAAAAGAAGTCCGTTATCTACCCAGGATGCTGCGAGAGGCCATTGAAATTAAAAAACATCCTAATTTCAACAGGGAAGATGGTTTCTCCGTATCACCAGTTTGGGATCCAGTATTTCCTCCGATGAAAAACCCCAAACAGACATAAGATTGCAGTACCAATTAATATGTTTTAATTTATTCTAATTTCTATTATTAATTAATCATAAATTAAAGTTAAAAAAAATTCATTCAATAAAATAATTGGTATATTTCTTTGTAAAATTAAAAATAAGGTATTTAACTTAGAATAATAACGCATAGAAACCTAGTCTACACCTTAGAATAATAACATATAGAATGATAGTTTCATATCAAACGAACTGTCATAAGTGAGGCAAAAATCAAATTCATGTGGGCTAGTTTTAGAAATAGGTTAATTTTCGGTTTTAGTGAATATTTATATAAAAATACAAGTTGAAACGCGTTACTTCCTTGTGGAATGTGATGTTAGTATCTATTTTATGTTTGTCTGACGTATTTTTACACTCATTTACCGCACATTTCGTCATTTTTAGCTAAAATTCTTGAGTTGTTCGCGGTGTAAGTTGACCTTGAGCACTGAAGGCCCGCCCGCTCGTATAGGCCCATTGGGAGCACTTCAATTTGCCTCACTTAACGCGAAGTAACGCGTTTCAACTTGTATTTTTATATAAATATTCACTAAAACCGAAAATTAACCTACTACTAAAACTAGCCTACATGAATTTGATTTTTGCCTCACTTGTGACAGTTCGTTTGATACGAAACTATCATTCTATGCGTTATTATTCTAAGGTATTTAATTAATAACTTTTGCAACTATAGTGAAATAATAGGGTGGTTTGCATTAGTGTTAGATATAACTGGTTGATGACTGTACCGCCTCAGTCAACCGTGACCATGGGTCCTGTAAAGGCCCCGAAACGTTGGTTTGTTTGAAAAAACAAATATACGCAATTTAAATCCAGAAAAATAGTTTCATTTCAACAATCGCGAAAACCTAAGAACTCGATACATTCAAGCATTCTTTCGTTAAAAAACTTACAATGTACAAAGTTTGATCACAGAAAAAATTATCTTTATTATTACATTGTCTTTATTTCCTTTTGTATTACATTATTTCAAGAAATAATAAGTATGGAATAGTATGCGAAAACAAATGTAGTATCACAAAAAGATCTCAAAAACTACACCTATTTTCTAGCTCATTTAAAAAGAGAAAGTAACGAGTAATTTATTTTTCTTACCATGATTGTAATATGATACATGATAAAATCACAGCGTCGTTAATACCTCCGTTCACATTCCCAAGTGAGCCAGAGCAATATCGATAGTTGAGGAATAACGCGAAAGCCAAATGTTCGCGATATGATAGCGGAAGATTGTATTCTATTACACCAACGCCCCAGAGAGCTATTATACAGGGTGGAAAAAAATCAATGGAATATGAAGGGAAACAATTAAATGCTTAAGGTAGCTAATTTTCCTTAAAGGACGCATTCTTTTACTTTTCTTAATATGAATAAATGAATTTGCTATTTTTTGTAACACTTTCCTGAGCCGGGAATTGAACCACCTAAAAATGCAATTAAAGACGTCCATTAAAGTCCTATTAGTATTTATTATATATTAGATTTCATGGACGTCTTTAATCGTAAAACCCAATGTTAATTGGAGATCGTTCTTATTATTGGAGTGCACGAAAAGAGTCTCCCAGCACGACGAACGATTCCTTTCTATAAGCGAATAGGCGAGAACCTTACGCTGATTGGCAAATGCTTCCACTACGACGGCAAGTATTACAGTCTATGCGATCGACATGATAAGAAGACTCTTATCATTGATTCTATCAAGAATAAGTAAATATCAATTAATACATTGAGTGTTTATATAAAACAAATCCAGGCAACTTTAATCTAGTGAAAACCAGACATCCCAGGAAAACAAGGAACAAAATAGAAATACGGCCAAAACAACGCCCCACCTTGGAATTTTACAATAGAACGATGTTTATATTGGCACCTAAATTATTTAATAAAATACCAGATGCAGTTAAAGAACTAAATTGTAGGCAATTTAAAATAAAATTACATAATTTGTTAGTTACACAATGCTACTACAATATAAATGATTTATTAATTGATAACATAAAATGTAAAATTTAACCACTGTGCGTGGTTGAAATAAGAATTGTGTAAAATATTCGCATGCCAAGTTTTGGTGAAATGTACGATCTAATAATAATATACTATAACACCATTGTAAACTACATTTTTCAGCGAATAAATATCTTGTATTCTTGTACAATAAAGTAGCGAGTGTTTATATTTTGCATTTTTAGTTGGTTCGATTGGCGGCTCAGGTACCTAAGCTTTCAAAAAATCTGTCAATGCAGTTATTCATATTAAGATAATCTTAGTGCAGAATACTAAAAAACCGAGCTCAAAAGTGCGTGGAATTACATCTATTTGCCAAGTTTTATTGAAATCGGTTACGGGACAGCGCGCAAAACCGGATTCATCCCCTGGTTTGCCACCCTTAGAGGATATTTTCTTCAAATTAAAATGGGACCACTACTGAGGTACCCTCTTTCCAACAAAAAAGTATCATCAAAATCTGTCCACAAAAGGAATCGCGTAACATACATACAATCCAATTGAGAACCTTCTCCTTTTTTGAAATCGGTTAAAAATAAAATTATGTTTCCTTTATCCCTTTCTGTCCAATTGATTTTTTTCCACCCTGTATATTACATATTGCCTCCACTGTCGTACTTAGGCCTTCACGACTTTACTTGCATGTGGCGTGGAAACTTTATTTGGCAATATTTGAACAATATATTAGGTAGTTTGGACACAGGGTCTGTCTTAGTTTCGTTATTTATGTATCCAACTTATCTAGTATTAGGGTTGGGTTTAATTTAATATATTAATGTTAGTGTCAAGACACTAACTCGTAAGTTAAGGGTATTGTTCAACGATTATAGACATAACAGTTAGTTAATAAGCTGGATGTGTGAAAACTATACTCCGTCCAACTATTTATTTAACTTTTGACAGCTCGCATTCTAATCAATTAGTGATGTCCTAATGCGTTTCTGATTCGATTTTTTATAACATTCGATTTTAGTTATGAAGAAGTTTTAATCGTGAATGTGACCGGGTTCAAAAAAGAAGATATTGTCTGATTGAAATCGCGATGTTGCTTTTGACAATTTGTCTCAAGAATGAATAATTAATGTTATGAAGATTCAAGGGATGATTCCCGTTCACATGGAGAAGAATCCGATGATTCATTATAATACACAATAAGACTTTATTAGAATTATTTATAATTTATTTAATTTCATTATAATTTATATTATAGACAGGTACCAAAATTTATCAATTTGAATTAATTTTAGTTACATAATGTGTTGACTCGATAAATATCGGAGCTAGAGCACGTCTCTTCACTAAAATAAAAAAACAAAAGAGTCCAGGAAATAAATTGCATTGTTTTGTCTACGGTGTTGTAAGTCAATAATTGCGGAACTTCGGAGTATAAATTAATGTCTTCGGTTCGCGTTTAATAATAATGTACTAAACAATCACAGCAATCACCTGACCTGAAATAGAGAATTCCCTGTGCTTTAAGTAGCAGAACAACGGAATTCACGCTGGGGCGCTACCCAGAACACCCAGACCAGAACCAAGTTACAAAAGTTAACTTCCCAAATGGGTTCTACAGAAAATCATCCAGTAACCACACTGCAAATTATTGGACCACCAGGCCGTTAAAAGATTAAAAGCAAAATAGTTTTAAATAACCTAGTTAGATTAAAAGTTAAAAAATAACCTCACATAACCTAAAAATTCACCTGCAAAAACTCACCTGTTACCGTCACTATAAATGACAGCCTTCTCAGTAAGAGGGTACAAAGTCTTGGTGAGAATAGCATTGAGCTTCCTCCAATAAATGACGATGCTGGCCATGGGGCTGTTGTGTGACGTCAACACTCTCTTTTTTGTACTAACCTGGCGACCTTTGTACATCCCTAGCACCTGAAGCAATACTACACGTGAAAAAAGGATATTGTATATAATAGTGTATAATTGCGATGAGTGAGGTGCTTTCTTAATTATACTTTCCCCAATACTACACAACTTCACGAACTTTTAAATTTAAATTTGAAATTAATAACAAGCTGGCTTAATGACCATAACCTAGAAGTTAATTTTAATAAAACTAAATGAATGCCGTTCAGACCTTATCAAAAACGCCATATAAACTTAATTTATAAATTTAACAACATTCCGCTTGATTGTGTAAACTCACTTTGCCTCCTAGGAATAAATATCGACATCAATTTAAATTGGAAGGACCATGTAAATAAAGTTGTTGGTAAATTGTCAAGTTTCACATATGCTCTGAACGAACTCAAAAAATCGACTGACCTTAAGACAGCAACTAGCGCTTACTACGCGTATGCTCACGCCTGGCTTAGCTATGGTGTTGCGTTGTGGGGCAACAGCACTGACGCAAAAAAACTTTTTGCGTTACAGAAAAAATGTATTCGTATATATCATACTCGCCAATATAGACTCGTTTACCAGCTGCCAATCGTATTTTATCAAATATAACATCTTGATTTTAACATGTATACATATTTTACAAATGTGTCTTATTGCAAGAATAATTTGGATGTATATACATCCAAACAGAGGATATCCTCTGTATTGTCGTTCAGAAAAATTAAGACCCAAATGCACGCTAGCAACAACAGTTTCAAAACTGCAAATGGTCAACTTGGGTCCGTATTCTATGTCAATTAAAATTTATAACGCACTCCCTGACCTTTTAAAATTGATAGCCTAAAAATGTTGAAAAACCAACTTAGTAAATATCTGTCCCAAAATGCTATGTTTTTTAGTGACGAAGAAAATTGTTCAGAATGTTATAAAAAAAATGTAATGTTAATATGTTATCTGTGTTATAAAAATATGACATTATAATTATGTAATTTAATAAAATAAATGTAGAATAATAAGATCACGGAGTAAATAAACACAATTATTACGAAGATTTAATTGACAAATGTAATAATTATTATACAACACTAAGATAATTTGACGATTAATTAATAAGTAATTCATGTTTAATTGATTAATTATTAATAAATAAATTGATTTATTTTTAATTTTTTTTATTTCAATTGACTTTTTGAATATATTTGCTTAGATTTATTTATTTTCATTGTAATAATATTATGATTAATAATTACGTTAACAATTGACATTGCTGCGCCCTTACAGAGTACATGTTTGATACTTTACCATATTACTATAAGACCTAATATAACAACATGTTTTGCAATAAACGATATTATTGTTATAAATTTAATTAGAAACTGCATACTACGGTGTCTACAGCGACCAATATACTTCACTTGGAGTTCTGAATTAAATACAAGGTGAAGCCTGAAAAACAGTAAATTGCTGAGGCTGTTACTTTTTCTTCAACACAGCCATTTATTTTAAGCCACTATTTAAAGTTTTTTATGTATCGTTGTAGTGTTGAAGAATAAAGTCTTTTTATTTTCGTTAGTGTCATCAGCGTGCTTCAGTATCGGTGCGGCGCTGCACCGCCTATCCTGATAATTCCCAAAGTAGTGAACATACAAGGGGTCCACGTCAAGGAAAAAACGGAGTGCGTGAGAAGTTAAACGGGGTCCACGAGAGTGCGACCCATTCACGTGTGATGTATATACCATAAACATGTCACAGTAAACAAACATTTGGTTACATAAAATTTAAACTTAACATGTCGGACTGTTAATATATAAATAGTGTATTAACTCAAAAAATGTATTTTTTTCAGAGTCGATGAAAAACGAATACCTACTCACTTCCCGTGAAAGACTATTAAAAATTTACGTAAAGTTTATTTTAATAACGATATTCAAACAATTTCATACTTGCCAAATGTATTTAAAAATAAAGGTAGAGTAGTAGAGATTCAAATTTTACGTTCAGCAATAGCATAATACTGAATTTCACATATTTCGAGACACAAAAACTCATCTAAGTGAGTAGCACTGTGTTAGCGGTCAAAAACACATTTGAAATCGATGAATTTGTAAAAAAAATGTACATAAGAAAAGCAGGGGGTCCACGCCATATATATACAGAAGAAATGAGCACGTGGTCTACTAGACAAAAAAGTTTGAGAACCTCTGGTCTAACTGATACTTAGCGAGCGCGTAAGCATGCTGTCGCTTGGTAATGCACGAGTGCGCTGAAGCATTCTTGTGTGCTACCTGCCGCTTCACAAATTAATATCAAAGTATGACAAAGACTGAGCGGTATCGAAACACACTTACAACATAGGAGATAAACTTTTCTAACCCGTTCAAGGCGTTACGTGTTTATAAGTGTGACTGCTAAAACCACAGTATTACAATATCTAGTATGATTAATTTTGCTTGGTCGAGCGGCATGGTCACAAGTTGTATTTCAGAATTGTATTTTTTTCCAAACGAAATTGAACCCATTTGAAAAATGTATATCGTATACTATACGCATTTTAGTTAGTTCAGTTGATATAAAAAAAATCATTGGCATATGTAAAGTACGTATTTAACACAGCAATTTTCCAGTAAATGTTCGAGTGAAGTTTGTGTTTTTTTTTCTATCGTGAATATTTCCAGGAATCGTGTTTTCACACCGTATAGTAATCAGTGTATACCCTCAATTGTATTATACATTTTTTCCAAAATGATTGATCCAACACATTCACTGTTAGGCGGAATCAAGTAAAGCCATTCGAGGTTGTATACTCTTTAAGTGTGGGAGATATAGCCAGTCAAAATGCATTGCCGATTATGGCGCGTGCGCCCTTAATTTCCGCTACTTGTTTATCTATCCATACTGAGATAGCGACCTTTCAATAATTCTTATAGATCGTGACCACATACAATATTTCTACACACTACAGCCTTATTTAGATTATAACAAACCTTAGCAACATCCTTCGAAGAGTTAAAGTTAAAATGGTACCCGCACATCTGATAGGCTCGTCTCTGCAGCATTTCCTGAGAACTTTTGACATCATTCAAAAGTTGTGACGTCAGATCCTTGTCTACCGCCAGACCGTAGTATTCGCAATCCGCCAGGACGCGAGCGGTTCTGATTTCGAGGTCTGAAAGTTTTCTATGACTTTGAGAAGTTCTTTAAAGTTGCGCAGTTAATTATAATTTTACTCCAAATCCAGCTGGCTAATGGAAGTTTGTTGGTAAGTAATTAAGGCACATTTTAGAATGTTATTTAGGTAATAACATTTTTATACGAATATTCCGTTATAAAATTGCAGGTACGTTAATAAAAAAAACTAGAAATAGAAGAAATTATATGTATCATTTATCATGACGCCGTGGTAGTCTAATGGTTCATACCTACTGTCTCTCGAGCAGAGACGGTGGGTTCGAATCTAGGCTCGCACTTCTGAGTTTGTGGAATTTATGTGTAAAATGTAATTTGAGCTCTTGGGTGCACCTGCACTTCGAAGAAGGTTCACAACATTCGGAAAACGTGTGAAGTCTCTCATCCGCATTGGACCAGCGTGACGAGCTATGCCCTAAGCCCTGGCCTGTGAGGAAACCCGTGCGCAACAATGGGACTACAAATGGGTTGACGATGATTTATCATGACAACCTTGTATCAATCACAAGTTTCCTCTGTAAACTTATATTGTGAATAAATGAATAAATCATCCAGTACCTATCTTCTTTGTTATTTCAAACCATCGAGTACATAACCAGAAATAGAGACGAAATGTCTTTTAATTTGTTTAAAAACTATTCTGCGAAATCATTACGGTGACAACTACACTTCGATTGACCAGCCCGAATTCGAAACAATTGACGGGGGTCGTTAATTGTTTCACTTCAAATCGACCAGTTTAACTTGAGCTTTGCTGTAATAGACTATAATTGAAAAATTACACATTTAATATTTAATTACCGATGAAATATGATTCCATTTGTTTTGTAATTACACCGAATGGAACAGCCCCTCATAGTTAGAGATAACATTATCTTTATTTTATAATAAATATTATATAATAGCATAATATTTTATGTATGTACGTCTATATAATATTACATAGACGTACACATTGGTCAGTTGTTGGTACTGTACTATCTCAGCTTTCTAATTTGTGATTTATTATAAAATAAAGATTATTAAATAAATTAATTAATTTAAATAAATTATAAAATATCTATTTCTGGTTATAAAGTCGATGTTTCAAACCCACGTTTCGGGCACTTATCAAGTTCCAAAGCCACGGCTGACTCACCAGATGGGACCTGTAAAGACCCCGAAAAACATTAGTTTACTTGAAAACACAAATACCTACACGCGATTTAAATCCGAATTATCATCTTCAATACTAACCCATAACGCTTCGCAAACGCTGGTATTGATCAGCTAAACCTATCTCCTGTTTATCAGCAATTTTCCATATACACCACGTTCTTACAATTGAACTATCTACATTGTCAAGGTTTTTAAATTTCTTCTCTTTATTATCAATTTTTATAGAGCTGCTTTGTAAATCTATGTGACAGTACTTTTTGGTCTGAAATAAAGATAATAGACATGAGTTCCAGCTTCGTAAATATAGCAAATAATTATTCTTGGTAACATAAAACTGAAATTAACAAAAAATTAAAGGGCCTACTTACTAAAAACGTGAGATCTGGAACTTTTTCATCACTGTTTAGTAACCATTCTGTTATTGAAATATCCACACAATCGGTTAACAAATCTACGCCAAAGCATTTCTTTACATTGACATAGCTAGATTTCAAATACATTAATCTTAATTTTGTTGATTTTCTTTGTAACCAATTGATTAGTTTCGATTTTACTTCAGAAAAACAAGTTTCTAACGAAGCTAGGTCTATATAAAAACATGTATCTTGTCTAAAATACAAAGTTATTCCTTTAATCAACCGTACGGGTATCAATTCATTTTGTTTAGGTCTACTTTGTTTAATAATATTGCTTCCTATAACTTCATTAGTAGCCATTGTAGCATTCATAATGTCTAAATGAATAGCTGCTTCATTAACATTTCCAATTATGTCAAAGTTGTCTAAAATATCATTTTTCTTAAGGACGTAGCATTTGGCTTCATTGTTACCGATTTCAAATCTAAATATTTTGGATAGTTGACAAGATAGTCGTGGATTATCAGATTTCTTGTTTCCTAATTGTCTGGTATGATTCAATGCAGATTTGTTATCTAGTTTTACTTTCTTTGGTAAGGATTGAACACAGTCATTGTGATTATTTTCCATACACCTTTTATAAGGGCTAATGTAACTATTCTTAACTTTCGTTTCACTAATGTTTTGCGTTTCAATAACTTCAGCATCTTTGGATAGATTCAAAACTGTTTCTAATTCGTTTTCAGAAATTTTATTGTCCTCTTCGTACACTAATTTAATATCTTCATCCGTATCTACGTCAAGAAGAGTAGATTTAAAAGCGTTGAGAATTGAATTTGAATTTATGCTCACAAAATCTGAAATTGTCTCTTGTTTGAAAATCTTAGAAGGTTGTATTTTGATGTTTTTATCATCTAAGAATTTGCTAGGAATCACATCTAAAGGCAAACTTTCGTCAAACAAGCTCGAAGTATCACCCTCTGATGAAAATAGACTAATATCTTTTACTGACATCGATTTGGAAGATAATTTTTCAGTCACATTTTCCGAGATCACAGCTTTTTCTTCAAACTCTCCTCCAAAACTTACGTCAGGTGAAAACATTTTTTCTGATGTCCGAAGTTTGGTAATGTTTTCAATGGCAGCCTCTGTAAAATTCATTGAGCCCCATATTGTTTCATCTTTAAGTATAGATGGACAGCTTCCTGTGTTTCTTATATCTTTTAAATATTGGTTTTTAGCTTGAGAGGATATATTTTTAGCGCCACTTAAAATAGGAGAATTTACTACAAGACTGACTTCTTTAATTACTTTTCTAGGTGGACGTTTTACTTCAACGTCAACATTGATGTTATCAGAAGTGACATATTCGATCACTTCACTACCTGACTTTTCTTCTACGTCCTCGGGACGTAAATTTGCACTTAAATAAGTATCATCAGTTCTATTACGTTCAGGATCTTTGCTACAATTGGGGACTAATGTCTCTCTTGTTAATGGTTCATCTTTGGTTTCTTGAGGCAATGACAATATTATATGTTGACTACTAGAATCTTTGAATAGCTTATCATCTAATTTCATATTCAGTGCATCTTTGGTGTTATCTTCATGGGTATTAAATATCGGTTTATTACAGACAGTAGGTTTATTCCATTTAATTTCACTAACACCAATCTCAAGTTCAAGATATTTCCTAGCTTCGATTATTAAGTTTTCAGCAGCTTCTCTCGCCGTCACACCACAATTTCCCGTTATCCAAATATTCTTTATTTTTTTGCGTTTTATCATGTCTTCGCTGTCATCCCCTTCTTGCACTTTTTCGCTTTGGAAAGGCCCAGCCTTTAAAAGAGCATTTTCAATTGATCCTGCTTCAGAGGAGGCAATACAAGCAATTGTTTCAAATCCTGCATCAAAAAGAGTGCGGGCCCTCGCACCATTTAGCGTAGACAATTTCATGAGCTCTATCAATTCGGAATGTACACCAAAGTGCAAACGGTCTTGGAACTGAGATATGAGCATTTCCATGTATCTCCAGCCTAATTGATGGCAAAAGGCTGTAACCATCCCTAAAGTAAGGAGCAATTGTAACAATATGAGTTCACTGGCTTATATACATAACATTAGTCAGTAAATATCGACAATACAGGGAAAATTTACCTGCGAATGTAGCAGCCGCTTGCTGCAAACCCTGCAAGAAACCGCGGGCACATTGAAACTTCGTCGCCACCTCTGATAATGGCACTTCATTTACGAGATCCCGTAATGCCAAAGCTGTATAAAACCTAGAAATAAATAGCACAATATAGACAATATTAAATAGATAAGCTGATAGATAAATTATAAATTTGCATCAGAATTTACTTGCCTCTTATGAATGTTCAATTTATTCTGAATATCATTAATCTTTTTGGTTCCCCTTAAACACCGAATGATGAAGCTCTCTTGTACTCCAACCAATTCTCCTACTCTTTTCATTGCTCTTGTCAGTGATTCCCAAAGTGTTAGCAAATGAAGCCAGTCTATTTCACCCCATTGACTGCTTACACTGTATGGTGTCACCAGATATATGAGATGCAGGTCAGTTTCCAAAACTAAACATTGTCTTGCTTTTTGTAGCTCACAGAATAATGATAATCCGTCATTTGGAGCCATAGATGAAGATAGACAAGCTTTGCCTAAAGCAGTAGCTATATATCGAGTTTCATCTTCATCTTTCTGAATTCTCACCAGTTCATAATTTTCCAATTCTTTCAGAGTATTATCAAGAAGAAAGCTTTGTGAAGGTGTTACTTTGTTTTGTGTAAACAGCAAAGTACACTTCGAATAAAACTCCAAGTGATCTCTGGTATTTGCAATATTACTGGCAATAATTTCTAAAACTGCTCTCATGTACTTATCCTCGCTTTCAATACAGCTTTTGACAGGATCTAAATTACCCATCATGAGGTCAAACCCTATTTTTTTCTCTGCTTCTGTACAGATCAGTATGCTTTCACCTTTTGTATCTTTGCCCATTCTTCCAGCTCTGCCTATCATTTGTTTATATGTCAGTATGTTAATGGGCTGTCTTTGGAACACAGGAGATCTGATGATTACCTTTCTTGCAGGTAAATTCACCCCAGAACTAAGTGTGGATGTGGCTATCAAAATCCTTATCGCTCCAGATTTGAAACCACCTTCAATTATATCCCTTTCATCAAAAGTCAAACCTGCATGATGATAAGCTACTCCAAAAGAAATAGTGTTTTTTATTATTTGGTCTAAACCAACAGGACAGTTTTTTAATTGCTCCAAAACTTCTGAAATACTTTGAGAGTTTAACTGCTTTCTCAATATCATCCCAATTTCATTCCCACTACAACCAAGTTTATAAAAAGAGGAAGCAACATTCTGTGCTAAGTTTTCACACCTATTTTTTGTCATGCAAAATATCAACACAGAACAGCCATCTTGGATTGTATTCAGACAAATTTTTAGTACATTATCACTATCTTCAGAGTTTTTTGTATTTTCTATAGTACTCATCAGTTGTCCACATTTATCAAAAAGTTTGTTACCAACTAAACAAAATTCATCTAAAGGTATTGGTCTGAATTGTGTGACAAACAATTCAGCATTTAACCAATGAGCTAAAACTTCTAAATTAGGCAGTGTCGCCGACATACCAACAATTTGTATCAGTACGTCATCTAGCCTAGACGACACATATTTGATTTTTGTTAATAAAAGTTCCAATATGTAGCCACGATGTGGATCACCAAGTAGGTGCAATTCATCCACAATTACTGCACCTAAATCTGATATATTGCCGTCTTCAAGTAATTTGTTAACCAGGCTATTGGCCTTCTCAATAGTACATATAGCTACATGGACAGTCTGTAAACCTCCAGGGGGGCACTGTGCCCCCATAAAACCTTCCACTCTTATTCCAGAACTTGACAGAATATCCTGCAGATAGAACATCTTCTCCCTGACTATTGAAACAAATGGTAATATTATTATTACTTTCTTCTGTCTTTCAAGTATGGTTTTTATAGTGAGTATCTCGGCTACAAGTGTCTTTCCTGCAGATGTAGGAGCAGAGTACACAAGATTACAGTAGTCCAAAAGTACTTTAGAATTGCCTAAACAGGTGACCTGCCAGTCGAACATCTCCTTTATGCCTTTCATGCTGTATTTCTTAGTTATTTCTTGTGGTAATCCCCAATCCTTTAAGTTCTTATTTTTTATTTCATCTTTACTGACAATCTGAGATAATATTTCTGCGTTTTTACTGATGCTGGTGTCTAAAGAAAGAGGTTTACATAACAATGTTGTGTTTATTTTCTTAGATGTTTGCGTCCTGTATACCTTTACTGTTGCTGAGTCATACTGCTCTTCAGCAGCATATTCCTTTACTGTAACCAATGAAGATTGTAAAGCAAATGAAGTATCGAAACAGTTATCAAGAAATCCCACGTTCTCAGTCAACACTTGCGTGTCTACGACATCCGCAATTTCCTCGGACATTATTCACTCTTATACACACTAGACACTACATCACACCTCATTAAATAGGATGAACAAAGATATTATGAAAAAAAAACATAGCCCCCAATGAAATTACATTAATTTCAGAGAGAATTCGCAGAATTCCATTATTCATTTTAATTTCAAAATCAACGAACACAGCTGATCTGTATCTGTCATCTGTCATTACATTAGACCGTTGACATCATGTTGACATCTCCGAAACGTTCTCAACAGTATCGCCATTAAAAAAATTTCGCAACCACTACAAAGAAAACCAAAACAAGTAAAAAAAATGGCAGGGCTACTCGGCATCGGTTCAATTTTTTTCCATCCTATAAGGCTCAAATACTGTTTCCAACCCACGTCTGATTCATATTTGTTTTCATTTTCATTTTTCGGCAATTATTATACCACTGTAAGGCAAAGGAAAAAACTTTTCTTTCTCTACTCATCGGGATTTAACGCCATTACAGGACATGATCTCTTATAGAATAAGCATCTAACTCGTCACGTCATCTCCTCCTGGGTCTTCCATGTCGCTGTCTTGCGTTTGGTGAGATCCACTTCGTCCGGGGTTGTTTTTGCCTGCATCTCGCTTGACATTCCATTTCATACTTTTTGGACCATAGCTGTCGAATACCTGCGCTCTGAGGTTTTCTCACACAATTCCTTTAAAAAAATGGTTTCCGTAGTCTAAGCATAATGCAAAAGAAATAAAAATGAGGTTTTTAATTATTTAACGATACCTACCTAAACGGCTGAATCGAAATCATATAATTATCATAAAATAATAAATTGAACACCATTAGATAAACGGAATTATAGTATATTTGTTTAATATCACATATCACTAATTTACAAAACAATAAGAAATAAATGGAAGTCATTTATACAAATAAAAAAAATGGGGTAGGTAATATAAAAGCTGATAAGAGATCAAAATTACCAAGCAATTACTAAAAGATATTGCAAATTGTTGCTTGTTTCGTTTTATAATTTCATTATAGTTGTGATGTTACTATATTATAGTGTATATTTTTCCTAGACAAATTAAATTTATACAATGTATAAGAAAATAAAATGTAATATCATAAAGTAATTTTAGTAGCAGTGGGCTCCTTTCCCTCTGTGAGAGCTCGAGATTCATGTACAAATGCCGCATAGGTTACACCCTGTAAAGGAATAAACTTCTTTTAATTCGTTCAGAATTCGGTGAAATATTTAAACATTTCGTTACCTGTTGCTTTGCCGCTCTAACAAAACCCTCATTAGCAGACACAGTGAGCGCCTTCATTCTATGTCCAAAATTGAAAATTATTTTCGATCTTAACCGCACATGGCCTCTGACTTTTAAATTTTGTCTTGGATAGTCATCTAGACCTAAAAAGAGATACCAAATGATACCTATATAAATAGTGAGTTACACAGATATTATGTACAATCATAGAAATGATCCTACAGGTAGATAAGAAAGATTATCGAAAATGCCAAATATGACGCGTTACCTCCAAAATTATCTGGATATATTCTTATTCTCTGCTTCAATTCTTCTGCGCGCTTTGTTTCCATAGGACCTCCTAAAGTATTAACTATTTTCTCAAAGTTATCCCATGCCGTCTTACAGCAAATCAAAGTTTTCCCTGAAATTATTAAAGAAACTATTAATAATCAACATAAAGATACTTTGCAGTACATAAACAGGAGATTAATTTAAAAATGTAATTCAATTTGCTCAATATAAAAAAGTACCATCAAAAAGCTTCTCCAAAACAGGTCTCACAGGTCGTTCAGCCTCCCAAGCTCCTTGCTGGGTCAAAACTCCCTGCTTGAATATATATCCGCAGTGTCCATTCGTCATGTTGCTTATATACGCCATCATTGCTGTAACATCTAGGTTTAGAGTTGTGATTTCAGGATGATCTTCTATGCATTGAGACACTTGTAGGAGAGTTGTTTGGGGGTTTAAGCTAAAAATAAACAATGTTATAACTTTTTCTTACTACATATCAAATAAATAATTCGGATATTTACTATACAGGTGATAAAAACATCACCAACCATTTTTTTTTCTGTGCATAATATTCAGTAATATAACACATCATAAAAATATTTAAAAAAAAAATTGTCAAATAAAACAAACAAAAATTTTCTCATTTTTTTGAATTCCCAATTTTCCCAATTTTTTCAAAAAAAAATTTCCCAATAATTTTTAACGCGTGTCAAAATAGTAAATAAAATTGAGCGATTGGCGCCGAGTTGTCTAGACGCCTAAGCACCAGCACGCATCGCGCGTTAGTTTAGTACTTTGTTGTATGTCAAATACATAAACTCGCGCGCTGACTCCGAACACTGCCCCACATACTTGTTGTTGCTATAGCAACAGTGTCTGTTATTTGTCTGGTGTCAATATTGTTCAATTTTTTCGGAAAACTTTAAGAGGTCATAACTTATTTATTTGTTAAGTATTTGACCGAAATATATAAACCGAACACTTATTTTTTATTTCCATAATACAGTATGCTCCTTTAAAATGGTTAGTTTTTTTTATCACCCTGTATAATTACATATTTACATTCAAGTTTCACAAGTAAATTACTTTAAAAGTGAAAGGAAATTACATTATTCGTATATTATTTGCATGTGAAAAATTTACAGAAAATTTCCCAAGTCAATGCCACAAAAGATGAAAGAACAGTTTCAGATATAACCTTTCATGGACGGAATTGTTATCACTGTTGTCTGAATTCCAGGAATCTTCACTGTCTTCAACAGGATGTGAATCTGGCAGGGTGTCTCCCTTTACTATTACTCCTATTGTTTGTAATTTGTTTGCAAGGCTCTCCTCTATACCACTTACAAATTCAAAGACTACCTAAAAAAATAATATAAAAGCATTAAACTAGTAACACTATATTCACATTAACTAAAACACAGTTGCGTGACAAAATAATTTTTTGAGACATCATAAACAAACCATAACCCAGTTACATAATATTGAAATTGTTTAATGGTATTTTAGCTACGCACACATTAGGGTAAGTTTCGATATGTCAGAAACGTTGAGTGACTTTGTTCTTAAAAAGATAATTTTAAGTTCTGTATCTTAGCTATTTACAATGGATATTTGACCACTTGTCACTTAACAGCGTCTTAGTGAGTGGATGGCAGCATAATCCATGATAAAATGTAACATGCCAATAAGGTTAAAACATTTACTGACCTTTGGTGGTTGATACATGCATGGGTATAATTTTGCACATTCTAGATAGTCCTCTGCTTGATCAAGTATGGATCTAGCACCATATGAAGCATTGCCTGAACTTAGTGCTGACAGTGACTTCGGATTCCGTGCTATCACTGCGAAAATAATTATTTGAAAATTACAATGAAAAAAATATACATGAAGATGGAAAGTATGAACAAGTTATACAAAATGTAGTTATCGGTTAATGGTACAATCAGGGCTACATCTCGAGCATATTCAGGTACAGTCTAGTACTATGAGGCAACTCAGAAAGTTCTGAAGAAGTCTATTTGGGAGACTTGTGATACATGAATTAATGACAGAGCTGAAAACTGTCGTTCATAAAACTGGACTTACTGCCTTCACCATGCATTAAGGATATCTTTGGATTTGTGTTGACAAATACATAAAAAATTCTGGGAAATAAACATAATTGAACTGAGAAATAAAAACATTGATGGGTTTTGGTATAGCGGTAGATAGGACCTAGGAGAAGGACATAGGCTCCTTTTTGTCACAAAAATAAATCTTAAAGAGGGTGAAATAGGAGATGAAAGTTTGTATGGAAAAACCAATAAAACTATGAAAATTAGTGTAGTACATTAGGCTAGAAGTAGGTGGTAGAATATATGTTGCCGGAATACAGTAATATATGTATATATTGTATTCAACTTGCATACAGGTATTCAAATATTAACAGAATTTCATATTTTATCTTTACAGTTAATTGCATTTCAAATTAATATAAATAAAAATTTATGAATTCTAAAATTTTTCTTTACTATAGAGGCAATGCATGGACTTAACCAATAATTTAATTTAAAATCATTTATTATTTATGGTATCGAAGTTAACATAAAAGATTAATAATTTCAGCTCTAGTTTGCCATCCCTTAACTTCACCTTTGATAATGACTGTTTTTCTTTGTCTTACCTTTAGTCCAAGTTTTTCCATTGTCGCTGATAATATCAATGACCAATTTACTCTCATCATTGATGTGGAATATTTTACATACAGATATTACTCCTGGCCTCAGCGCACAATCTACCATGGCTCCTAAGTGTCGGAGATTTGAACATGAGAGTTGTTCAATTTTCACCTTTTTCGATTTTTGAAGCTGAAATTGCAAATAAATTAATAGATGCATAAAGCTCAACAACCTGTTCGGATAATGTTTGCAGCTTTATTTGCAAAAGTTTAAGGAAAACTTCGCATTTAAAAACATGAAAATATTTGATTCCACACATTCTAATTCTTTTTGATCTGCATGCCTTTCTGAGTATATCTAATAACTTCAACAAAAAAAAACGAATTTCATCATAGTCATCATTTCAGCCGAAAGACGTAGACGTAGTCACTGCTGGACGTAGTGGCCACCAAATCAGTAACAATTAATATTCTATAAAATTCTTTTGAAAAAAGAACTAACGTTGTCTTACCCTTTTCAGAAACTGAATTTCTTGACGAATTTTCCTTTGCAATTTCATCATACCATCGACATCTCGTATATCTTGTAATTTTTCACCAAGGCCTATACCAAATTTGATCTTCTCGTCTAACATAGCCAGTAACTCTTCTGAAGACAAAGACATGCTTGCGCTATTGTTCAATAAACCAGTGAATAATATAAAATATAGTAATCTATATTCAACACATTTAGAACAAATTAACAAATGCCCTAAACGCAAATTAGAAGCACATGTCTCTATTGATAATTTAGTGACAATCAGCTGAAAATGACATAGAGCAGGTTTCACAGTGTTAGTGTTACCAGTTAATACCTATTATAGCTATCGTTCCTGATGAATCTGCGTGAAAAGAAACGGAGGGAGGTTGTCCCATATTTCCAGTGTTGCCAATTTGTGGGGAATTCCTACAAATTGCGGAGAATTTCAACGAAATTCAACTGGATTGGGAATTTTGTCAACATCGAACGTTCCTCGCATTATTAGCAACCCGCGTAGAATTATTATCAGAGCACTTGGTTCTGAATTGTAAAATTACCAGTCGGTGTGTGTTGAGTTCGCCTTCCTTTCAGTTGGTCGTCGGTATGAAGAAAAACGAAATCAGCTATTGCTAAATACAGTCGAGCAGTTACGTACTTCTACACCACAACTTACCACTCGTCAATTTTAAATATTAAATATAGGTCTAAACTTAATTTACTCATTGATTATTTCTAACCTTAACATTGTGTCACCAAATACGCAACAAATAAATAAATTACGTAATTTTGTAAGGCTAAGAAAAAATATTTATGTTTCTTTTTTCAGATTGATTATTGTTGTAAATAAATAAACGATTTAAGGTCATCTAATTTTGTAATTTGCTTTCATCGTCATATACAGCCTGTCTTCAACCACTGCTGGGGGTCCCATGCTAATCTCATCCAGGTTCCGACGTTATTGTATCCAATCCTTGGACACTCAGTTATCGCCTTACTCCATCTGTCATCTTGTCTCCGTATCAAGTGTGCCCTGCTCAAATCCACTTTAGCTTCGTGATGCGATTCCCCACGTCCATTACCTTAGTTCGAATACGAACCTGACATTGGTAACACGGTCTATAACCTTGATACCGAGCATGACACGCTCTATGGCTCTCTGTGCAACTCTTATCATAAACACAGTCTGCGTGAGCATCCATGTCTCGGCACCGTAAGTCATAGTAGGCAGAACACACTGATTATATAGACGGGTCTTCAGACATTGTGGAATTTTAGCTGACTTAAGAATGTCGTCCAACTGCCAAACGCGGCTCACCTAAACTGAATTCTTCTGGTGATTTGCTTTACATTTTACATTCTGTTCACATTCGCAGCAAACGTAATAGATGGTTATATTTTGAGTTTCTTAATTGTTTATTATATTTTGAAGCGACGTACATATTTATAATAATTAATGCGAACTCGAGATGTGGGAAACATGAATTGCTCCCCGAAATTTGGGTGTTTTTAACAATTTTCATTGGCAACGCAGCATTTTGCCCAAAAATTCTATTGGAGCATGAAAATAAGTGTTAGTTATTTATTAACCAATTAAAATAGTTGTCAGTTTAGTTCAATGGCTCGGTCTGTCAAAATGATTTTTGAGTAATTTAAATAAATTCGTCTTAAAGATATACCAACAATATTATGTGCTATTAAATTGAAAATTGTAATAACAATCGTCAATTACAACGTTACACACATACATTCCGCAAATTGTAAGATAGTAGATTTTCTGAAAAATACCCGCCATTTTAATAATTTGACGTCACGGTCACGTGACTGTTTGTTATTTAGCCAATCAGAAATCAGTATCACATAACCACAACCACGATTTTGAGAAATGGCTGACGACAAGGAAGTCGAAAAAACGATTGCCGAAGACTTGGTTGTGACCAAGTACAAGCTTGCAGGACAGATTGCCAATCGTAAGTTAATTAAGAACCATATTATAGTGAAAAAAATGTGGGTGTGCTGATGTTTAATTGGTAATTTATTGTGGTTTGTATGGACGCGTGTCACCCGTGGCCATGCGGACAATGTGCCGCCAAGTTGCAAAGTTAATCTAGTTTCTAATAAATTTCCAACTTAACTATTGATAGATTCCCTCGGATTCCAGGTGTTCTAGAGCAAGCGATCGCAAAATGCGTCCCAGGCGCGTCTGCACGAGAGATTTGCGAATTTGGCGACAAGCAAATCCTCGAAGAGACTTCAAAGGTCTTCAAGAAGGAGAAGGACTCGAAAAAAGGCATTGCCTTTTCGACGTGTGTGTCCGTGAACAACTGTATATGTCACTTCTCGCCCATTCCTAGTGAAAGTGACTATATCTTGAAGGCTGGCGACTTAGCCAAAATGTACGTATACTTTCTATTGTTCTAATTTCAAATAACCTTATCTACATTATTGTTGAATATTAAACCACTTCCACAACTGCCTTAATGACGCTTGTAGAGATATAAAAGCTGTTAGAATGATGCTTATTCCACAATTTCTATGATGTTGAGGTTATACATGGTACAGATAGCATAAAGTTCACTATGTAATTGCCTTCTCGAACATTATACGAGTGTAAATTGGAATTGTTTATGTATGTTGTAACGTATGTTGTTTGCACTTTTAGTGACCTGGGAGCTCACATAGATGGTTTCATTGCGGTAGTTGCGCACACAGTCTGCGTCGGCGGTGGAGATGTAACGGGTCGTGCAGCTGACGTGCTTCTTGCTGCTCATCATGCCAGTGAAGCTGCTTTGAGGTTGCTCAGACCCGGCAACGAGGTAATTGAAGTTTTAAAAATTTTGTTATACGATTTTCATTAATGAAGTTTTTGTACTACCTGGCTCTCGTCAAGTGATACCACCCATGGGAGTGTCATAAGATAGGTACAACAATACTGCTGTCCACTATCTAAAATGACAAATAGTGAAATAACTGTTATAAATGCAAAAAATTATCTTTTAAAAACAGTTAAAATTAGTTAACGAGCTTGACTTATCGGAACTTACCCTAACAATGCATACCTGAAATATCATTAAAACGATTTCAATATTCTGAAAACGGGGTTATGGTTTTTATGACATCTCATGAAAATATTTTGTCACTTAGCTGCATGTTAGTTAGCAGATGGCAAAATACACAGTGGTTGCTGATGCGGTACCGACACTTGTTTAAAGGCTTTAATAAAAAATATGTACATTTTTTATGTAGAGATCTCAACATCTTGTTTAGAAATACATTAGTCTTGGCCTTTAAGCTTCATGCTGGTCACATTGCCTTAAAAAGTTTAATCATGTAATAAAAAGATTAGAATCCCCGCTATGTCAATTTTGTAACAAACTCTCGAAGATTAGGGTTATTATTAAGTTGGCTTTATTCAGGGCCTATGCATCCCCTCATCACTGCAACAATTGACTGATCTATTGTGATCACCACTAATTACAGTGCAGAGCCAAGGCTGACAGCATTGAAGGACTTTCCTGGCTCCGACAGATTTAATATCCTCTGGTTGTGGCATGTGCCTTCCCAGTACGGAACTTCGTACGCCCATCAGGGGGTAGCATTGGGTGAGTAGATGAACAGGAGTTTCATCCTCCATGCGCCAGAATCTACATTCTCTATTTTCTCTCTGCCCAATATTTGTCATGTGCTTATTTAAGCCACATGCCCTGTTAAGGCTCTAGTGATCATTCTTATGCCATTCCTGTCCAATGACAGAGCTTCTCTACAGTGTTTGGCACTGTAGGCAGTATCAGGGCTTTTGAATGCTCAAGACCCTTGTTCTGTAGCCACACTTCACTGGAGAGATGTGTGCTCTCATTTAGCAGAGTGAGCTTTGCCAGGCTGTATGCTATCCCTATGAAAGGTTTGGGTCCAATAAAGGTTTCCCTAGCACCAGCCTTTGCCAGTTCTGACTCATTACCCTCGATGTCAGAGTGGCCTGGAGCCCTGCGCAATACCACTGTATTACTTTCCCCAAGAGTGTTCAGTATATTTACACAGTTCTCGACAATCCTCGATGTTTAGGTGACTGAGGTAGTGCAAGTAGAGCCGCTTGACTATCTGAGTTTATGTAAATATGCTTGTTAACGTAGCCTCTCTTTAGGTTCAAATCCGCACAAGTAATTATGGCGTACACTTCGGTCTGAAAGATAGAGGAGTGTTGTCCCATGTTCAGCTTGTATCTGAGCCTGGGTCTCACACCGTGTGTACCATCTTAGACCCATCAGTATACCACAGAAGGCTACTGTCCTTCCAGGTGAGACTGTTAGTTTCCCAGTCTTCCCTAGTTGGAAATTCTACAGTGGTACAGTTTTTTAAAGTTTTGTTCGGGAAGTCATTCCCAGAACAGAGTGTTCCAGAATTGAGTCTTGGGCTGATCTCAATGTCTGGGAGAGCCATCTACTCCTTAACCTAGCGGTAAGTCTATACATGCTGTTGTGGCCGCCCTCTTTCTGTATGAATAAATGCAGAGGAGTCAGGTTCAGCAATGCATTTAGGGCTGCCCCAGGTGTGGTGGACATGGCTCCCGTTGCTAGCAGGCACGCGGTGCGCTGTAGACTGCCCAGTGTGACAATTGTGGTTGTTTGGCTGACTTTAGCACTCCAAGCAACAGCCGTAAGTCACTATGGGCCTCACAATTGCCTTACATAACCAGAGAGTAATCTTTAGATTTAGACTGTACTGTACCTCCATATGGCTACAGATACCTAAGGCCATCTTGGCCTTGTTGATCGTGTTAGCTATATGGTGGTTCCACCTTATGGTTTGATCTAGAGTTATCCTTAGATATTTGACTTCTGCAGAAAAGCCCACAGCCCTGCCACCAAGAATTGGTTCCACTAGTTTGTCTAGTTTCCGTCTCCTAATGAAGGGGACATTTCCGCATTGATTGATAAATCGTTATCTTGACACCACGCGGAAATGGTGTCAAGTGCTCCTTGCATAAGTGATGATATAGTACTTTGGCAGTGCCCTCGAACTATGATCGCCAGGTCATCCGCATATCCCTGAGTGTCAATATTCAGTTCAGCTAACCTATACAGGAGCTGATCCACAGCAAGAGTCCACAGGAGAGGAGAAATTGCCCCACCTTGTAGGCAACCGCTTACTGTGGAGGCTACAAGCCAGTTCCCATGTAACGAGATACTGGCCCTGCAACTTAAAAGTATGTTCTGTACCCATCTCGTGTTTGAAGTGTCCACACCTTTGCAAATTAGGCCGTTCACCAGATTATGGATGGGTGTATTGTCAAATGCACCCTCAATGTCTAGAAAGGCACACAGTGCTATTTGTTTGTCTTCAAATGCTCTTTCAACCCTGTCCACAAGGTGGAGCAAAGCTTTCTCTCTGGACTTTCCACTCTGATAGGCGTGTTGAGCGTGATGGATAGGACTACATATTAAGGACGAAGTCCTAATGTGATTGTCAAGTATCTTCTCCAATGCCTTAAGCAAAAATGGGGTTAGGCAGATGAGTCTAAAGGACTTAGCAAGAGAGTAGTCCTTTCTGCCTACCTTCAGTATAAATACAACTTTACACGTTGTCCATTGCATCGGTATGTGTCCCCAAGCAAGACTGGCTCTGTATATCTTGACCAGGTATGGTAAGAGTACTCTTATGCCTTGCTGCAGTAAGATGGGAGTAATGCTGTCCTCACCAGGGGACTTATACGATTTAAACGAGCGTATGGCCCAAGCCACATGTCAGGGTCTTATTACGTTGGCGGCTCTGTTCCAGTCTTCGTTACGAGGTAAATGTCGCGTCGTTGCTGGATTAGTTGGCGTATCGCGCAAAGCCCCCGGGAAGTGGGTTGACATTAAAAGGTCAAGGGTTTCAATCGTAGATGTCGAGAAGGTCCCATCAGGCTTCTTTAACAGTCCTGGTTGATGGGAATTGGCTTTAGCGAGCAGTCTATGTAGATGCGCACCTTGAGAAGCAATATCGATCTCCTCACAGAACCGCTGCCACGATGCTCGCTTGGCCTTCCTTATCTCCTTGTTATAGTTAGTTAGGGTCTTCCTGTAGGCCTCCCATTCCTTTGTTAGTTTGGCCCTATTGGTGAGCCTTCGAGATTTTCTCTCTTAGCTTTCTCAGTTTTGCATTCCACCATGGAACCTTCCTATTGGAGGTCCGAATTTTTGGCGGGCAACTTTCCTCAAGTCCGGCTAGCCTAGCCATAGAGAAAGTAATGTCCAGAATTTCTTGTCTTGACCTAGTAACAAAAGTTGGTGTACATCCTTCGTTATTAAGATACAGGCAATTTGATAGGATAAACTCATATGGGAACTCACCTCTGTTATTGATGTCTGAGCTCCCCCAGGGGGTGTGGAGAGCGTTGGCATCATATCCCACCAGAAGTTCTGCTTTGTGTTTCCGGGCGTATTCCGCCAGCCGTGTCAGATCTTCCGTGGGATTGTTCTTTTCTCCAGTGCTACTCCGGGGAAAGAGATATGCCGCTACAAAGTCATCAGTACATAACTCTGGAACAGGCTTAAGGTTAATGTTTTTGTTATAAACAATGCAGGCTTTGGGTCTACTTCCACAGGTGTTGTAAATCAACTTACCAGCGGCATTGAGTCCCATTATGTTTGTGTGGTTAACACAGGGTTCCTGAATGAGGGCGACATCCACGTTGCCTTTCGCGAAGCAACACTCCACCACAGCCGTTGCAGCCACGGCATGGTGGAGCTTTGCTTGGAGAAACCTCACCCTATCCCCCGTGGGCGCCATCTAGCGGGGATTGCAGCCCCGGCCGCGTTGCTGCCCCCGACTGGTACGAGGAGGACGAGGCCGTCCTCGTGAGCCTCGCGGGTTGGCAGCCCCACGCCCTTGCACTCCTCCACGTGCCGAACTGCGGCCACGTAGGTTCGGTGCCGAAAACCACCTCCAGACCGTCATTTAGTGCCATTACTGTGGCAGTTTTTGGTCGAGCCGCCCCAGTACTGGCACTTGTTGATGGCTGCGCTGTTTGCAGTACACCCGGGACAGCGGGTGCTGTCCGAGTGTGCCCAGCCTCCCGTCCGCGATTCTTCTGGGGCGATGCACCCAGAGTCGACAACCTAAGATTGGGTGACGACGCTTTTGCCAACGCCTAGCAAATGCTCGAACAAAGTCCAAGCATTTACTAGGAGTTGCCCAGGGTGTACCGGCTCATGTCTTCCCTTCCTATGCAATTGGATTGCATAGGAAGGGAGTTGAGTTGAGTATGATTTCAAGCACTGGAAATACGACCCTAAAGGCAAGGACTTGAGTATGATTTCTAGTGTTTTAAATCATACTCAAGTTCTGAGTTGAGCATTGAGTAGACTTCTGGAATTCGACCCTAAGTCTATATGTGTTTCAAACATGCTTGCTGTTAATATTGTAATCACAGCAGATATGTAGCAGGTTGGGGGGTTAAATATTGTACTAAATAACCTGTTGGCAAAGACGGCAAAAACTCGGTACTCATGTGTGAGGGCCTGCCTCTCAATACGAGGCGACACCCTCAGATAGAGTAGAATAATCCACAGGGAATGACATTGCAAAGCCGATATTGACACCCAAGTAGCATCATCAAGGCAACAGAGAGAGATATGTGTAAAATCTTGAATTGAAATTTACTAAAAATATAGCCCACAATTTGATGATTTTCTCTACTCATCTTGTAGCAAGTTGTAAAGGATATTGTGAGTTTGTTTCTACAAAGTAAAGTAGTAAAAAGTAATTAAAACCTGAAACTAAATCATTGTAAAGATAAAAGTCCGTTTATAATTGAATAGTAAAATTTTGTTTGAGAAGCTAATGAATTCAAATTCCTTTATATAACAAACACACATGGTTACATCCTGTTTTACTCTATTTATCGTGTTATACCTACAGTAATATTTTCAATTTAAAGACAGTTTCTATTCTATTATATAATAATATGCTAATCTTCTCGATTGTTGGTATGCTACAGCAGTTACATATTTACCTATACAGTTTAGATATAGGCTAGTTATTAATTGTTTGAAAAATTTCAAATTGAACTTTTGAAAAGTAGCTAAGGTAAGTAAGAAGTAAAAGAAGATAAAATGATTCTGCTATTAATATTGAAATAAAGTTAAACAGTGCCATACTATACTATGTTTGATTATCTTTCAGAAATAATAAAAATAAGTCTGATGTATGTCTGGCTAATAGTTGCAAAATATACAACACATGTTATAAAAGAGATTTAATTTTGATTATTTACCCATCTGTAAAGTGTACATTTATACGCCCATAGTGCTTTTTTAACCCTGGATCTTTCCAATTTCATTTAAATTGTGTCAATTGGTACAAGCCCAGGTAATAATAAAGGCGTCTCCTATGGACCTCTATTGACTATCAATTTGAGGAGATAAGGGTTGCTACACATTTATCGCGTGATTTGATACTGACAAAATGTTATATTTCAATTTGTTGTTGTCTTTGCTTCTAATATAATTTCGTAATTAAACTACATCCAAAGAGGACGCATAAAAAGCAATAATTTGCAAACTAAATTTAATTATGTAAAAGTATAATTATAAAGTCGTACTCAAAAGTAATGTAAAAACTAGTAATGCTATTCGTCTTTGTGTGCCATCGGCGACACGTTGCGTAGCATCAGCACATCGTGTCGCGGCTACGCGAGTTAGGGTCGTATTCCAGAACTGTACTCAATACTCAAGTCAGGACTTGAGTATTGCAGTGAGCACTGAAAATCATACTCAAGTCCTTGTTATTAGGGTCGTATTTCCAGTGCTTGAAATCATACTCAAGTCTGCTCAAGTCCTGATTTGAGCATTGAGTAGAGTTCTGGAATACGACCCTTAGTGAAAAATGGTCAAACAGTTATAAATAGCAAAAAAACAGAGCACAAGATTCTTCATTTAAGAACGCGACTTGCGCGAGAACGACATACGGCGCGAGATAGTGCTATTCTTGCCTAGAGAATAAGAGACTATGCAGTCGCGCGTATGTATAGCGCACTTTGATAAGAAATAGTTTTAATTTTAGTTTAGTAAGTTAAATTCAGTTACTTTTTGAAATGAAGTAACTACATGAAATTCGAAGTGTAAGCTCCAGTGGAGTACATAAGCTTCTTGCTTGTCACGCGATTAAATCGATTCACTACAGCGCGTTTGCGGTGCTTATAGAATACGCCGTATGCAGTCGCTCTAATAATATCTCGCGCTTTATGTCGCTCTCATGCAAGTCGGCGACCTGTCGTGCTAGCCCTACAGCGAGTATAGTGTGGCGAAGGACGTAACAATCTAAGTACGTACACGTAACAACGTAACAGCAGCGGCCATGTTTGTGAATCAATAATCTTTATACTTTAAACAATATGAATACTTTATAGCAAAACACTTAACATTTTCATTTTTGCTCGTATTTTTTTGTGTCTTCGATGTAAGCAGTTACTCATACAAGACACTTTCTCTTACAGAATTACCAAATCACAGATGTGATTCAAAAGATAAGTGCAGAGTATGGCTGCAAGCCTATTGAAGGCATGCTCTCGCATCAGCTGAAGCAATTCCGTATTGACGGCGAGAAGGGCATTATCCAGAACCCCTCGGAGGCCCAGCGCAAGGAATATGAGAAGGCCACATTGGAGACATATGAAGTTTATGCCATGGATGTCCTTATTTCCACTGGAGAGGGAGTGGTAAGTGGTAAATAATTCATTTAATATCATAGTTGTTAAACAACTTTGAATTTATTTTACGAATTCTTAACTATATTTCGTTTCAATCCATTTTAAACAAACTAGTCACTGACCCGGCCATAGACAGTGATAGTGATGGCCAACTACAAATCGATTAATTGATTGAATGAATCGATTTGTTTAATTGAGTATTACTAGCGGTTTTCATTACATAATCTATAAAAGCACATTTAAAATTTCTGAAATATTAATTTTAAATCCTCTTTCAAATCCTAACACTTAGATATTCGGTTCGATTGCGATTGAAATTTTCGATTTACTAATCGATAACAAAAACTTTAATTGAATGAACCAAAGGTTTTTTTCCGTACAGCACTATGGTTGCATAGTCACATAGACAAATCATAGTTATATGGTTGAAAAAGAACCTCACTTTTGGAATACGATTTTATAATGCTATTCAAATGGGTATTGTTGGAAAAAGTGATGAGATATCAAGTCGAAATATACGCAAAAGTGTTACTTATTCGATTTATTGAGTGATGCTTTATAATTTTAAACAAACAGTTTTGTTTACTTTTTGTTCAAAATGGATTAGAATAGATTTTAGATCGCATTTTAAGAGTATTTTTGTATAAAATATACTCCCAAGTTTGGTTGGCAATATATGTAAGATATTCAAGTATCCAAAGCAAATTAAAATAATATGAATAGAATAGAATAGACATTTATTGCATATATGTAATTTCTATTGAGCTGTTATACAGGCTGTATATTTGAAAGTGGGACATACTTATAGAGTGCGTTATATACCTGATTCTGAACCCAAAGAAATAATAAACTAATGAACTTAAACTTTACAAAAAAAAAATATTTTTTTTTATCGACTACTACTTGTGAACAACATTAGTTGTCGAAATCTATGCACATCACTATTATTGCTCCGACGCAGCGGCGAGTAGCGGCACGGCGGCGAAAAACAAAGCACAGGTCGGAGGTGGGGGCGCGGGCGCATACGCGAAATTGCTCAGTGTACGCGCGACCTGGATCTAACGAAGACACGTAAATTATTTGTACTTCCACTCGCCCGATCGTTGCAAAATGGGTATTTATTCTAACGTCGAATTGACTGAGATGGTGGGTGCGACTTTACGCAATAAATGGTGATAGTGTGAGGCAAGCTATTGAAATGTTCCCAAATCGGAGTTTACGCGGAGGATGTGAACAGTGTCGAAGTGTTGCGTGAGAGGATTATCTCAGCATTTTATACTGTGCGACAAAATGTGTTTGTGTTGTACAATTTAAAACAAAATGTACTATGCCGTGCTAGTAGAACACTTGCTCCGTGCCACGTAAGTGTAAATAAACTGTAAATAACTAAAAAATCAATCATTGTAAATAATTTGATTTCACATTTTTAAGTACGCCAAAAACCTCAATTCTTATTAAATGATAACTAGTTACTAAATCATAAACTTATCTTTTTTAGTACGTAAAACATTTCGATGATAGTTCAAGTATAAAATAATTAACATAAGCTAAAACGTAATTGTGAAATCATTCTTATTGTTGCTGTCTCACTCGGCCTCGCTTGGTAGTATTTCCATTGCACTCGAAATCAAGCGTAAAGGGAAACGGTTTATTCCTATGTACACTTCAAAATACATTTGTTAATTTATTTTTTGTTCTATCCCATATCCTAATTTTATTTTAGTCTATGTTAAGTTGTAACATGATTTACTATGACATGTATGAATATGTCTCACTTTCAAATATACAGCCTGTATAAACCATTCCTTTATACATTCACACTCATATATAATATGAATCAATTCTTTGTTCAAAGTTCTGACCCTGAAATTCTTTCCAGATAAAGCTTCTATAGCATGTCTGGCAGTACTCAGGGTAAAAAGAAAGTAATTGCAATATTTCTAAAATGACATTTATGCATTTTGGATTTAACAATTGCTGACAATCTGTTCAAATAAACTGATACATATTTATTGGTGAAAATGACATATATTTTGACTTTAAATAAAAATATTTTCACTTGTTCTATCTTTCTCTAACTCATAGTTTCCTAAAGTGGTCCCTACCCCCAAGTGGTGGCGTTGATGCTGTCTAATAATACTTTTTTCCCTTCTGAATTTTTGTTTTTTTTTATTTTTTTTTTATAATATTAAGTGACAGGACGAACAAAGCGTGCATCCATAACAGTTTTGTGTTAGTATAAAAAATGCATGTTTTCATTTTTCCCGTTGAATTTAGTTTATTTTGCCTAAGTGGGCGGTGAACCAAAAAGTTCAAGAACCTTTGCTCTAACTAATGGTTTCTCATTATAAAACATTATTATAAGCAATATAAAATTAATAGTAGTAATAAAAGTAAATGTTTCAATTTCGTTCTAGGGCCGTGAAATGGACACTAGGTGTACAATATACAAGAAAACTGATGAGATATATCAGCTGAAACTAAAGGCTTCAAGAATGTTCTACAGTGAGGTAAGTACATTATAACAACTAACCATGAAGTCAATTAGTAATCAGGTAGTGTTCCAATTGTTACGCCGTATCTTTCACGGTATAACATGTTGGTTTACGCGACAACTGTATAACAAATTTGAAATTCTTAAGGCGAGTCACTGGAGAAGAAAAGAGGAGGCGGGTAAAACTGTTGTGCTATAGCAAATGGTTTAGGTATTTATTAAATAACAGTCTTACAAAAATAAACGATGCACCTAAGGATATTGTCTAAATAATGTGCTACTATGTTACATGATACGATGTTCTTTATTCCGATCATATAAAATCCTCAAAACAGGTTAAATTGTAAAACAAATTATTTAAGAATAAAATATCTATTATTATTATTAGGGTGGCTTCATTTAGGGCCTATGAGGCCCCTCATCACTGCGACCATTGATCTATTGTGATCAACACTAATTACAGCTCGGAGCCAAGACCAACAGCATTAAGGAAGTGAAGGATTTTCCTGGCTCCGACAGTTTTTATGTCCTCTGGGTGTGGCCTGTGCCTACCCAGTATGGAACTTCTTACGCCCATTAGAGGGCACCACTGGGTGAGGAGATGCACAGGAGTTTCATCCGCCTCGTGGCAGAATATACATTCTCTGTTTTCTCTGTCCAATATTTGACATGTGCTTGTTCAAGCCACAATGCCCTGTTAAGGCTCTAGTGAGCGTTCTGATGCCATTCCTGTCCAGTGACAGAGCTTCTGTACAGTGTTTGGCACTGAAGGCAGCTATCAGGGCTTTTGCTCAAGATTTAGGTTTAGATTTGAATGCTCAAGACTCTTAGTCTGCAGCCACATGTCACGGGAGACGTGTGCGCTCTCGTTCAGCAAAGTGATCTTTGCCAAGCTGTGTGCTATCCCTATAAAGGGCTCGGAACCAATGAAGGCCTCCCTAGCACCAGCCTTTGCCAGTTCATCCGCTGCTTCATTACCCTCGATGTCAGAGTGACCAGGAACCCAATGCAGGATCACATTATGCGTTTCCGCGAGAGTATTCAGTATAGTTACGCAATTCTATACAATCCTCGAAGTTTGGGTGACTGAGGTTAGTGCATGCAGAGCAGCTTGACTGTCTGAGTTTATATAAATAGAATTGTTAACGTAGCCTCTCTTCAGGTTCAGATCAATTATATTTCGGCCTGAAAGATAGAGGAGTGTCGTCTCATGTTCAGCTTGTAGCTGAGTCTGGGTCTCACGCCGTGTATACCACAGCGTACGTTGGGTCCCATCTTGGACCCATCGGTATACCAAAGAAGGCTACCGTCCTTCCAGGTGAGACTGTTAGTTTCCCAGTCTTCCCTGGTTGGAAATTCTACCTGGTGAAGTTTCTTGAAGTTTGCTTGGAAAGCATGACATCAGAAGTCATTCCCAGAACAGGGTGTTCCAGAATTGAGTCCTGGGTCGATTCCAATGTCTGGGAGAGCCATGTAGTCCTTACCCTGGTGGAGAGCCTATACATGCTGTTGTGGTCGCCCTATTTCTGTATGAATACATGCAGGGAAGTCAGATTCAGCAATGCATATAGGGCTGCTCCAGGTGTAGTGGACATGACTCCCGTTGCTAGCAGGCACGCGACATGCTGTAATCTGCCAATGTGGCTATAGTGGTTGTTTGACTGACTTTGCCACTCCAAACAACGGGCCTCACAATTGTTACAATGGGCCTCACAATTGCCTTGTGTAACCAGAGAATCATCTTTGGTTTTAGACTCCAACGCTGTCCTGCCATACGACTACAGATACCTAAGGCCATCTTGGCCTTGTTGACCGTGTTAGCTATATGACAGATTCCGCCTTAGGGTTTGATCTAGGGTTACCCCTAAGTATTTAACTTCTGCGGAAAAACTCACAGCCCTGCCACCAAGGATCGGTTCCACTAGCTTGTCCAGTTTCCGCTTCCTAGTGAAGGGAACAATAGTTGTCTTTTCCGCATTAATATATAGTTCATTATCTTGACACTACGCGGAAATGGTGTCAAGAGCTCCTTGCATAAATGATGATATAGTACTTTGGCAGTGCCCTCGAGCTGTGATCACTAGGTCATCCGCATATCCCTGGGCGCCAATGTTCAGTTCGGCCAACCTGTACATGAGCCGATCCACAGCAAGAGTCCAAAGGAGAGGAGAAATTACTCCACCTTGCGGGCAACTCCTTACTGTTGAGGCCACAAGCCAGTCTCCGTTTAACGAGATACTTGCTCTGCGGCTTAAAAGCATGTTTTGCACCCATCTCGTAGTAGAAGTGTCTGCACCTTTGCAGGTTAGTCCCTTTACCAGAGTACGAATGGGTGTATTATCAAAAGCACCCTCTATGTCTAGAAAATAATTATGTACAAAATTAGATATAAAATATCTAACTTTGTACATAATTTTTATAAGGAGATATTTCTCTTTAAGTACTAGAGAGAATCTGCTAAATTTTGGTTTTCAACTGAAATCCTATAGTTATTAAAATCACATTTATCCCAAAATTTGCAAATTGCCTAGCGGCTTAACGAGAAGCCGCGCCGCCCGCTACCCCGTCAGTCGGCATCGGGCGCTTATCGACGTCGCATCTGTGTCAAATTTTCTCCGCCCGTTCTTATTTTATAAACCACTTCAAAAAAAAGGAGGAGGTTCTCAATTCGACTGAATTATTTTTTGTTGGAAAGGGGGTACATCAGTATTGGTCCCATTTAATAATATCCACCACTAAGGGTGGCAAACTAAGGGATGAATCCGGTTCCGTTAATCGATCTCTATTAAACTATAATTAAGATATAATTCCAATAATAAGCCTAAAATTATTTAAAACAACAAAAACCCGACTGCAAAAATATTTACCAGGAATATTAAAAAAAATGTTCCCCCCAGACTATTTTGTTATTTTTTATAGCATATGACACTCCCACAATCAAGACGAATCTAATGACACCTCATATGTCAAAATCCATCAAGCCATTTAGGCTTTACAGCATGAAAAATAAATGGACGTACAACTTGAAAAACATAACCCTCCCGTCGGGTAAAAAAGCCGACAAGCTAACTTTTGAGGTCGGTTCTTTTTTAATAAAAAAGTTATATGTACTCATATCTTTTCAAAAGCGCAGGATTGTGGAACACGGGGAACGACCCCAACACCTTACGTCCTTAAATCTAGGCTCGCGTAGAAATTCCCCGCGGCTAATATAAAATATAATTAGCCAGTTTCATTACGTTGTCTGGTCTTATTGTACACACTGAAACATAACTCATTTATGCAGGTCCGCAACAAACACGGTTCGATGCCTTTTAATCTGCGCAGCTTCGACAAGGAGACGAGTGCGCGCCTCGGCGTAGTCGAGTGCGTTAACCACAAACTCATCGAGCCTTTCCAGGTAACCATACAGTTTTGTTGCTCGTTGGTTAGATACATGTCCATTTATAAGTGATGTATCATTGATGAGCTACCAGGAATTTACAGGCCTTATTTCTCTATTTCTGGTTATATACTCGATGGCCCCATTGGAAGGCCTTTATCTTTATCTTTTATCACGTGTGGTTATTAATTATGTACAGTTTGATTGTCACGCGTTGAGCTAGAGAGTAAAACTACATATAATATATTCGATGCGAAATTCGCTTGCCATAAAAGACAAAAAGAAAAAATTAAAACAGCAGAAGTTGGTCAAATTAAATTTAAAAAAAAATTCGTACAAAATTAATAACATTTTATTAAATTTGACCAACTTTTGTTGTCTCTATTCTTTTCTTCCAATACAATAAAATCATTCATATATTGAAACTTGAGTCGATCAGCATTTCAAAAATAATCAATTTTACTCACTTTTATGGACAACTCATGCTTGACAAAAATTGACTATGCCAAATTGTTTTCACAAAAAAAAGACTTAATGGTTCCTAAGACAGTTTTCTTGTATCTTCTATGGTTTCGAATTTCCCCATACTGTCCCATTAAAAAAAAACACTGTATAATACGTACAGTGTAAAATGTTAGGTGCTGTACGAGCGGCCTGGTGAGCTGGTGGCACAGTTCAAGTTCACGGCGCTACTGTTGCCCTCCGGCACGCATCGCATCACCGGTCTGCCCTTCGACAAGTCCACGTGCAAGAGCGATCGCTCCATAAAGGACCCTGAATTACTTGTAAGTTATTTACTTGTCTTTTACAGTACAAAGGAACTTTTTAGGCAAGTGTGTACTGTCAACTGCACATCAAACTTGACACTTTTGTTATTGAAAGTGGCATAGAATTGGGTTTCAATCTTAAGGCGCCGCGCAAATATGTGTCTTGTATTGGATACAAGCAACCGGCGACTGTGTCGATTTCATATCAATTGTATGAAAATAGAATATTTGTTTCTAGTTGCCGGTTTGTATTCAACACGAGACACGTTACTCATTGCAATAAAATGCTGATCCATACTAAAAATTGAATATATAACTGTCTTTTAAAGTTCGGAAGTCAATGCATAAATAAATATTTTTGAATTTAGATGTATATACAAACATTGCTTTAGAACATGCTAAAAAACACCCATTTGACATGAATTAAGTCCAATCGTCGTTTGTTGTTTATTTGACCTTAAAGGCGTCTTCAAATAAGGCTGCTAACACATTGACTGCATGTTTACAGTTAATGCGTGAAGTCGTAATTAACTTCATGAAGTCGAGATCTGCATGAAACCGTCATCAACATCATGCAGTCGAGGTCTCGGATAACGACTTCATGCATTAACTGTAAACATGCAGTCAATCAGTTAGTAGCCTTAGACGCTTATAGAAGTGCAGCAGTAGCGCCACTGTGGCGCTACATTATAAATATATAATTAAGAGCCTCGTTCTCTTTAACATGCTCTGCAGTAAAAACTACTATTTGGCATTTGAGAATATTTTTTTACCTCTCACCTATAGACACCGAAACATGGACTTCGGAAAATAATATGTTGTTTCGTATGTATCCCTGTTATCTTTCAAAGCACACAATATTGTAGTGTGATTTGAACAAGCACAGGGTATAAAACTGTGATCTTTTTGAGCCGATTTGTATAATTATCGCACTTCGGTTTGAACCATCACTACATTGTTATAAACAATAAAATAAACATGGCTTAGTTGGTATAACGTCTGGCATGGTAAGCTGGAAGACGAATCCGGCCGGATCGAAGGAATTTTTTCTGAGTTTTCGATCTTTGTATTAATAATAATAACAAACCAGTGGAGTCATTTCACAAAAAATAATTGAATATCAATTCAATAAAAATTTAAAATACAGCGAATAGCGACATCTCTCGCCAGGACTGGTAACTGTAAAGGTACTAACTGGGTGATAAATCTTTCATAGATTTCTCATAGATGGCGCTAAGACTAAAAAGCACATAGAAAAATTCGTGAGGTCCACTGGTTCGTTCCGTAGCTTAGTTGGTATAGCGTCTGACACGGTAAGCTGGAAGATGTCGGTTCGAATCCGGCCGGATCGAAGGGTTTTTTTCTGAGTGTTCGATCTTTGTATTAATAATTATAACAAACTAGTGGAGTAATTTCACTTAATTATGTAGAAACTTCAATCAGTTCACTTGATATTACCATCATCATCTGACAGTGGGTCATTACTAGATTGGGTTTTTTACATTTTATAAATTGCCATCCACCGAACTTCACAACTACACTCTTGGAAATAATTAACAGTTTAAGTTGAAACAGTAAATTGGCAACCAGATGGCGCTGATGTGAAAATATTATGTTTGGTCATATAGCCAACCACTTTTTTGCACACACTCATAGCCCCGCACTAGAGAAACCCTGTAGTACGGGTGCCATGGACACACACAGGGACAACCACAAATTACACCCAAATTCAAAAAAGAAATTAATGTAGGCCTTACAAATATTTCTCCCAGCCCCGAAATCAAACCCGGGGTCTCTGCGCGGCAGACCAGCATACTGTTAACAGTATGCTGTTCTGTTAACTGTTACAGTTTGACCACTGATGCAGTTGCACTCGATTGAAAATTTACAATCTCGGTAAACAATTAAATCCATGTTCCTTTCTGCTTAAAATCCATTGCAGTTTTCGAGTATGTGAAATTAATATTTTCTATTGCCTACAGTCTCTACTCAACTCTTCGGCGAAATCAAACAAGAAGAAGAAAAAGAAAGCCGGCGCTGAAGAACCCATGGAAGTCGAAACAGCTGCCTAGCAGTGCCCTCCCTAGCACTTACTCAGTATCTGCAACCTCAGACGTAATAAACTCTAAACCGACCACCTCCATATTATGAGCCAAAAAGAATAACTCCATTTGTCATTGTTCCTAGAAAATTAAATATTCCCAGACAACTTTTTGGCTTGACAATTATCTACAAATCGGCAGAACTATTTACAAAATTAACTAATAACACTTACATGTTTTGTGTACAAAGTTAATGCCTTACACGCAATTCCTACATTTTGTGTGTTAGATATTTAATGACATTAGTTGATTGAATAATACAATGTACATAATAACATTACACATGTGAGGCATTGACTATTCAATGAAGCATAATCTAACAGAACACAAAACCATTCCTTGTGACGTTTGTTGATTTAAAAAATTGTGACGTGCACAAATCCGTTCTCACTCTTTATTTGTGCAATTAGTATAATGAGTGACCTTTCCATACTTTTTAAGAATCCTATGGACATTTCCTCATATAACATAGAATGAATTATTTTTTATTTATTGGTATTTGAGAAAATGAAGTTGTAAAGACCATTGAACTTCTCTATAGGATTAGATATTGTTTAGGATTCCTCAAAAATGCGGTGTTTGCGAGTTTTTGTGCATATTTCGTACAGTCAATGCCGTAAGCGTCTACTGAATTATTGCTTACAAAAATATATTTGCTAAGAATTACTAGATATAATAAAGGTAGCTCAAAGTGTTATAAATATATTCTGGCACTAGTTTAGTTTCCATGTAATTTTGTTTTGTTTGTTTTCTTGTATTGTTAAAAACATAAGTCCAACAGGGACAATGTTGTTTGTGAAAATTGAAAGGTATAAAATCAGTTGATATGTTTACGGGACTGACAGTACTGAAGAGAAGTCAATGAGGAGTGTAAAATATGCGACACTGTGAGAAAGGAATAAATCAAACTGTTCCACAATTGTGGGCCGTTTTTGTATAAATGACTTTTATTTAAAACCTTTACTTAATTATTATATTCAATGTAATAAAAGTTACAGTTCATCATAAAATTCGTCAACTTAAAAACTTGCTGATAAAAGTAAACAGCAAATTGGATTAAGTTCCCCATCGAAAGTTTACCTGATCTGACCTTCAAATTATCTTAAATAAAAACAAGAAAAAAACTAAATAAATTTTCTTTAATGAATTAATATCACCGTTCAAATAAAAAAAAACATACATACTCAAAGCAATTTATCCCACATTAATTACTTTTCTACATCTTTCACATCTTGGCTCGGTTCAGCAGCCTGCATAGTTGATGCTACTAATTGGTAAACCTTGATGGTTGCATTGGAGGCATGTGTTGGTAAATCGACGAGTAATTTGAATGTATTTTTCACACCAGTGTTCCAGTAGTACTTCAATAGGTATGATGCTCTGTCGTTCGTAGGTAGAGGAGGAAGCTGCAAACATAGGTCATTTTAAGAATTATTTAACAGAATAGTTGTTAATATAAATAATATGGTGTATGGTTTAGAGCAGTAACAATTTATTTTGATCAGTTGGCAAAAACTCGTGATTTAGGGCCTTCAAATTAAATGCTTAAAAACCGCATCTGTAGCCGCGCATTACGTCTGACTTTTTTCTTGTTGATATTGTGATCGCAAATGTGGTGCGCGCGTGTCACGACTTTGGCATTGCGACTGCGCATCCAGATATTTTATGAAAATTAATGGCAGCCGCGCCTTATTTCTTACTTCACCAACAATGTGGCGCGCGCGTGTCACGACAGTTGCGCTGCAACTGCTTAATGAAAATTAATGATGGTACCACTGCAGCGCTTTTGTAAGTGTTTAATATAAAGGCATATAAAACTCGTATTCTCTACTCTATTGAGTAGAGTTCTAGAATCCCGGGAGTGCTTTAAACCGTACTCAAATCCTGACTTGAGCATAGAGTAGAGTTCTAGAATACGACCCTAAGGGTCGTACTCAAAATCATACTCGAGTCCTTGCCGTTAGGGTCGTATTTCCAGTGCTTGAAATCATACTCAAGTCTGCTCAAGTCCTGACTTGAGCATTGAGTAGAGTTCTGGAATACGACCCTTAGTCCTGTACTTGTAAAGTTAAGAGGGTGATATACTGTCCATCTAGAAATAATTTTTAATTAATTAAATTCTACTTTTTGAGCATAATCAAATGTAATGTAAGCAATAAGTTTCTTCAAATTGAAGAATGGTGGGTGAAAAGTGGTGCTGCAACAAGTTTATCACAGAGTGGCCAAGAACATGAATTCTTTCAGCTTGTTAGTCACATCTCACTTTTATTCTATTTATATCAGGGTTATATTATAGTGAATGCCATTGATACAATAAGAAGAAAGTATAATGTAATAGGCTAAAATTCACAAAACACTATTCATTATTATATTGTTTGTGCTGTCGTCTCGAGAACAAGCTCGACTATTGGCTACAAAAAAGTGGAATCAGTGCTAAAAAAATTAATCAAACTTAAAGCAGAGACTATTTGATGAACACTATTAGACGTAATATCCACGAAAGCTATTCATCTATTGATCAAATAAAAACTTTTCTCTGAAAAATATTTTTTTAGTAAATTGTATGAGTGAGAAATATATTAATAAGGGTGATATATAATTGGAAATTATATAATTGTAGGTTATAAGGATATTATTGTATTATTTACGCATTACTTAAGAGTCATTTAACATATTATTATTATTAGGGTGGCTTCATTCGGGGCCTATGCGGTCCCTTATCACTGCGACCATCAACTGATCTATTGTGATCACCACTAATTACGTTCGAAGTCAAGGCCAATAGCATTTAAGAACTCTCCTAGCCCCAACAGTTTTTATGTCCTCTGGGTGTGGCCTGTGCCCACCCAGTATGGAACTTGACACGCCCATTAGAGGGCAGCACTGGGTGAGGAGATGCACAGGAGTTTCATCCGCTCGTGACAGAATCTACATTACCTGTTTTCTCTCTGCATACAAATTGTGATAGTAATATTCCTTAATTTGTACAATCAGGGGCCCTACCATGACCTCTTATTGCAGTTCAGTATAGGTTCGTAACTACAAAAAAGCGGGATGGTGATATATACTTCATGTAGTGCTATCTCACAACGATTCATTTTAGAGAAGAGTTCATGGTAAGGCCCCAGGTTGAACTAATTGCAACTGGACGGCCTAATGAAGATTATTAAGCTTTGTTCAGTGCCTTCATTTTACACTACACTGTAAATGTATGACACTGTCTAGACTGTGAATGTACAATATATCTACCAATTGAAACAATACCAATTTCGTTACATATTTGTGCTGGAAAGGTGAAACGTCTAACATGCATTTGAATTTTTTTTTTCTACTGTGTCTTGGGAGCCATGGACACACCACATAGACAACCACATATTACAATCAAACTCACGAGATAAGTAAATGTGTGTGTGTGATGGTCATACAAATAAGAAGAATATGATGATTGTACTGGTGTCAGGGCTGTACTAACATTTACGAATGAACAGTACCTCATATGGGATTTTCTTCTTAAGTTCACCAACATAAGGAGAAATCCCCTTCTCGAGTTCTTCGTATAGTGCATTTGTGGTAGCGCTATCCTTCCACATGCCTTTGTCGATCGTATAGTAAACAGCGCCACCGAGCACAGCTGACTTGATTCCAAACCTAAAATTTGAAATTTTTTAAGTTAATCAAAAACTGAATTAGAAGTTACGTACGCTTATTCAGTTATTGGTTAAATTATGCAAATTTATAATTTTACACATACTTCAACATTGTAGCAGTTTATTCACCACTGAATAGATTTCAGGAAGGGGATTGTTTGTTTACTATTTTGTTCAAGAAATTATATAATTTTTTTAACAAAATTTTTTTTGCTCAATTCGTTGACATTTCACAGATAATGTGACCATATAGAAAATATTGTCAGATAATAAAATAAGGCTTCAAGCCCGGCCGCGTTCGAGCGCACGGTAGCTGTAATTCAGTATATCGGTCTATCGGTTTACTTCCGAGGCGAATGGGAATATTTAAAATTGTGTAAATTATTATCGATCAATGATACTAGAGTTATAATTGTGTTAATGGTTAATATTTACATAGACATGGGAAATGGCTAATAAAATAACAATTATACCTATGCTTACTACATTTGAGAGCAAGGATTATTAACATAGTTTATCATAGGAAGCAGTTTACATTGCACATTCTTAAATTATTAGCTATGTTGAATGTGTACGTTATTATTGTTATTATTAATAAGCCCATGAAAACATATAGTTTGCATTGTGTGTTAAATATATTATTTACTCTTGGGAGCACCTTGCAGCCAAGGTCTTAAATAAGGTAATCAAGAGTGAACAAATATATGTATAGTTCGTGTTGCATCGGTTACAAGGAACCAAGCAATGTATGTATGTAAACAAAATGCCTTATCGGTACTTATTTATTTATACAAGGCACAGTTACAGAATGCAAACCGTAAAGTTGTTTATAGTTAACATGCATTACAATAATGCTCTGGCCACACAGAGGCGGCCGCGGGAAGTTTATATATATTATATGAATCCTGCCATACTGAAACGTCGCGCATTTGCCGTGCGTTTCAGTGTGGCAGGGTTCATATAAACTCGTATATTACAAAAATTCCTGCGCCCGGAACGCTGCGGCCGCCTCTGTGTGGCCTGAGCATTAGAGTAAATTTGCATTCGTACATTAGCCACTTTACGTTTACATTATATAATAATAATATTCACTGTAAATCATGCTGTTAGCTTTGTTCGCTTTGTGTTAGCTAATATCTCAATCGACATTTTTTGGAGTAAGTAATCCATGTTGACTAGCATATCAACCAACATGGTCGACACGTTTACCTAGGAATGTGCGCTTTAATTTAAACGAACGACAATCAAGTTGTCAAGCCGTGATCGCCCGATCATAGACAAAACAACAGAACGTTAAAAATGAAGATTTGTTTCTAAAAAGTTTAGAATCATTAGGTCTTGTATTGATTAATTGGTGAAAATTCTAATTTACGTTGAGTGAAAATGGATTCTCTCAGTCTGGAACAACTAATGATACGAAGTATCGAACACTGCCTAGTGCCTAAACTAAGCAGAGACTTCGAAGAATGTGAAACTCATGGGGAGTTCGACATTTACAAAAATCGATTCTCTCAACATTTCTACGAACTAATAAAATTGTTGGATGATGCTGATTTAAAGGAGAATTTGAAAGGATCTACGCGAATTATTGCTTACTTATGGATCTTGTATGTGGATTTGCAAACTAACATTCTTTGGACTACCGAGGTGATCACCGAGTACACCAACAAGTTTAACGCATCTTTCGAGCTTATTTACGGAGTAAAACTAGATGATGTGTTGAAAGCGGAGCAGCTTGACCGCCAGGCCATATTCGATAAGGCTATGGAGGAGCTCCACCAAAAATTGACTCCTGAAAATTTCAAGAAGTACCCAAGTCTCATTGATGTCTATAACTCGATCATTCAGGATGTAAAAGTAAGGCTGTGTTTAGTATATTACGCAAGGGCGGTTGTAGATTTGTAGTATGATGTTGTAGGTTTATAAATTTGTTACTGTTATTGTTAGTACATAGAATATGATGCGCGTAAAGCGATGTGCTACGCAGCATGAACAACGTGCGATACGTAGTGCTACGCGCCTTGAAGAATGCACGACGCATAGCGCTACGCGCCACGTAGACCGGCGGCGCGCCTCGGTCGCGCTTTCGACAATCAACAAACTCAGAGTGGATTTATCCTCTTGTTTATCAGTAGTGCTACCTGCCACGAAGAACCCGCGCGCTGTTCAGTGCTACTTGCCATGTCGACAGTCCCCTTCAGTCTGCATTTGCATTAAGCGAATTGTTTCCACCTCATTTTTTTGAATAATTAACAATGGGGTGCACTCAGACATCTGAACTTAACTCCTTGAGGAGATTTTGCTGATTTTGCTATTATGCATTGTTGAGGAGACAAACTTGGAACTATGTGGTGTCTAAATTTGTGAGTCATTGGAGTTTAAAGTTATTATTTGTTTTAGGATTTCAAGATCCAAGTGAATCTCGTGAAAACTCTACCGATTGCACTGCTCCTGATTGAAGATTTTGTGCCAACCAATAGAATTAGTGGGCTCAAAAGTTGTGCCTCCATTTTGCAACATGTGGTGAGTCGGTCCCATTCAAATTGAATTTATCTCTAAAAGGTTACCACAACTATTTTCTGACACTCAGTTGCTCTTAAATATTTAAATTAGTTAAGATTTTAAAAATAATTAATTATTATAATAAAAGATATGTTTGTTCAATGCAGAGTGAAAACGTTCCAAGACTGAACGAACAACAAATAAAATACTGAAAAAAGCATCACATTACATATAATTCTAAACACTAAGGTAATTCTGTGAAGATATGAGTCTTCTATGCCACAAAATTTCTACAAAAATAAAAACAAACAAGTTATTTTTATGAGTCGTTGCGACAAAGAACACTAAAAACTTTAATCAAAATTTGAAACAAACACAGACAACCTACATAGAAGACGTGCCAGCGAAAAGGTTTTCCAACAAATTCAGTCACACGTGTAGGACCATCAGCTGATTACCAGGCTTTAGTCCGTGATAACTCCCTAACTCTTTATTCACTGTTAACTTATTTATTTTCTATGTGTGGTTACAATATTCATTGATTGACACTTGACACTGTTGTGTAAAGTTTTGGAGTCATTATTTCAACTGCAATAAATGCAAGATAATCTCAGTAGAGAGTACTACAAAAATCAGTTACTGGAAAGTACACAGAACCAGATTCATCCTCTAGTTCGCCACTATTTGGGCCTTAATACTGGAGATAATGAAGCTTGGTGCTCACTGTTTAAAGTATATTGATAGAAAAACGCCTTAAATTGGAGCATAGCAAAATTGCTCCTTACAAAATTTAGCGCTATTTATAAAATTAAGTCTTCATGCATGAACAGCCACCTTTAGAGGAATATTTTCTTCTAATTTTGAAGAAAATTGGACCACTACTGAGGTACCCTCTTCCCAACAAAAATAGAATTATCAAAATTGATTCACAAATACCGGAGATATCATGTAACATAAAAAAAGTAAAAACAAACATAGTCGAATTGAGTCCTCCTTTTTTTGAAGTCGGTTAAAATGTGGTTTATAGTCAACATTTGACAAGCATCATAGTTCAAAACGCATCTTTGGAGGTTGTGATTTGTGATGTCCTAAATGTAAGTAGATTAAAATAACAATAAAAAATCATTGCAGGAGCCAAATGTCTTTGACACAGGCAACTACTATGAGGTAATCCATGGCACTCTGCTGAAGGCCTTCACAGAACGTGACGCAGAGGTCACTAACTTGGTGATTGGAAGTTTGCTGCAACTTCTGCTGCTATTACCGGACAGTGTGAAGGTGAAGACTGTTTATACTAATCACTTTAAGTACATTCACTCGTCTATTTTTAATATTAATTCTGCTCTCGACATAGTCGCTTTAATTTTTAAAAATCACAAATAAATCAATCAGATCTAATTTAGATAGCCAATAGCGCGCGCTTACTTCAATTTTATCGGGCTTGTTGCGACTATCATGTGTAACCATGCTACGGGGGCTGGTCTATCTAAACACATACACCAATCTATTTATATTCACTTTATATTAATTCAGCTCTCATCATAATCACATTTTTTTTTTAATCTCACATAAACTACAGGCCTACCGCTTAACTGAGCCGGTTCCTGAGATAGCTCTGTGGTGTGGGAGACAGAGACTAATAGAGACTTCATTGATAAGTGAAATGGGCAGACAAGCCACTTGGCCCTTTTGTTTAAAAAAACTTGCTATTGAATATTGTCAGAAAAATCTTTAGAAATTATCCCGTGTGCAGTGCGACAACTAACTATTACGTAAACTGTCACTTCTCCCGCACCGCATCACTCCCTCAGGAACCGGATTAGTTAAGCGGTAGACCTTGTCGTAGGATATGAATCATGTTCCACTATCTAAGGAACTATACATAATATAGGTAAATAAAAAGTATTTACATGCTGTGTTACAGACGGCAGCATATCTGCGGCTATATCTAGCTCTGGGGGCGATATTCGTACAAAAATGTAAAGCTTGTTGTGCTCTTGACCACACATTCCTAAATAATTTTGAAATATGACAGATTTAATTATATCAATACTTATTTTTGCCACCATATTAGCCTTTTTATCTGTGAAGTCTTAAAATGTTTGCTAAACTTTTATGTCTGGCTTGCAGGAGCAGAAGACTGACGAAACCTATGCTCTAACACTTGAACAAGTTCTGAATGAGTCTAATGTATACAGAAAACTGAATCTGTACAGATTCACTACGAAATTGATCCAAATGCTTCGCACCAAATGCGCTAAGAGACGCAGGTTTCACTTAGCTATTGTTGATGGAATTATTTTGTGCTGCAATAAAGACATTCAGGATGTGCTCCTGAATGATGTTTTAGAGGTAAGTTTATAGGGATATATAACATTACATTCAATACGTATTTTCGATTTTTGTTACTCTTTTTTTACATTTTAATAAGTATTTCTGTTATTTGTTGCTCTTTTTTAGGCCAACCTTTTCTTTATATCCCTAACATATAAGAACGTATTAGAAACTAGTAAAAGACTACACTGAGAACAAGTTCAGTGCAGGCTTAAAATAATACCTGTCAACCAATTAAAGCTTACTTGAAAGTGGAACATATCAATACTTCACAGAAGAAAAGGGGTAAAATGTTTTAAATTGAATAAATAAATATTAGACAACATCACATATGGTGCTACGATCCCAAAGTAACTAAGGCACTTGTGTTATGGAAATCGACAACAACGATGCGCAACGGTACCACAAACACACTATAGAAAAATTTAGAAAACTTGGGAATGTTCACTAAAAAAGGGAATGTCCACATTATCCTTTAGTTTAGCGAAATTAACTCCAATTTCGATCACTCATTATTATGTAGTTGTGTTTAAAGAGATTATCATCATCCACATTTGGCACCAAACTTTGTAAATATTTTTTTGCATTATGAAATTAAACGAGAAATTATGAGAATGCCAAGTTGGGAATTCTGTCGAGAAAACTAATCTAATCGAATTTGATGGAATAATATTAATACTGCATACACTCAACATAACCCCGCACTAGGGAAACCCTGTGTCGCGGGTGACATGGGCACACTCATAGACAACCACAAATTACACCCAAAGTCACGAGAAAAATAAATGTAGGCCATACAAATATTTCTCCCGGCCGGGAATCTAACCTGGGACCTCTGCGTGGCAGTCCGGCATGGTAACCGTTCGACCATGGAGGCAGTTGAAGGAGTAAAGGAATAATAACGCTCACAATCAACATAATAATAATACAATAACAGGAATAAGGGAGTTCTACTGTTTGCAGTGTCTCAAAGAATGGATAAAGCACACTTGGTGTGTGTGGAACCTGCAGACCGACTACAGGATTCTTGCTGAAATGATGAAGCTACAGTGCGCTTCAAAGCCAGAGAACTGCAGGAAAGTCGTGAAGCTCATCGCTACACTGATCACAATTTGTACTGAGGATGAACAGCTTAGCATTGTGAAATGTTTGGAACAGCCACCGAGGCAGTTCACTGACAGAGTTGAAGAGGTACGCGCACATTGCTCTCACCCTATGTAAGCTCCATTTAATTTATATGTGTATGTTTAAAACAGTAGATGCATGAGTCAAATCAGTATTATTTAACTTATTTTACTAATTTTATGCCAAATAAAACTGGAAAAATGACAAAAAAAAAAATAATTTGCTTATAAAAGTGTTTAGCAATATAGTACACCTGTATATTCAATAAAACAAAAATGTAAAAAAAATCCATGTATTTATAAATAAAAATAACAAAAAAAAAATTTATGTAGTTCAATAAATGCCAAAAATATTGACAAAACAAAAAATATTGATGTATAAATGTTAATGATTGTAACTAATTATCACTATCACACGTTTATTATCATGGAGTGACTATTCTTTACCTCCTGCAGACACTTGAAATAGCTAATGCTAATTATTAAGTTTACCATGAAAATCTTAAATCTTAATTGTCGTAGTTTATATTAAATATCTACTTAGTTCTTTTAATCATTGATTGTACATGCAGTCACTATTATGCTGCAGCTATGTGCCATAAACAACATATATCACATTTCATTTATCATTAGAATTATATAAGAACTATCTAAAAATATATTTGTGTAAGTAATACGCAAATGTGCGTTTTATTTATTTACTCATATAGCACCTTATTAGTAAGAAGTGTTTTATACTGATTTAACTGCACCACTGGATATAAGAGTGACCCGGGGACTGTAAAAAATTTTAAGGAATGTCTGAGGGCGTTCAGGTGGCCACAGCTCAGGACGCTACTGGATACTTCCGCGTGCTGACATGCTGTAGAGAATTTCTTGTAGAGGGTACTAGCCCTTATTTGGAAAAGACGTGCATATGGTCCAACCAATGAAAGTTAATGACGATATTCTCAAATGTAATTTTTCGATTAATTATTTGCCCTTATCAATTTTCTACCCTGTCTGCCTGTTTAGTAGCATTTTTGTAATATATTATCTAAAAATATATGTATATATGTAAATATTCATAAAAAAATATAAGCAGGGTAGAAATTAGATCATTAATTTTGGTTATATTAATAAGATGGCAATACGGTAAGTGGAAGTCCTTTATCATCATCCTTCTCAAAACCACTAATAGTGTACAAAGTATCAACAATTTCCTCTGCATTAGGCCTTTGCTTCCTGCGATACTCCAAACACTTTTTCGCCAGTGTATATATCTCCTTACCCTTTGTCCATTTGTCAATAAATGGGTCTAGAACATTCTGTATCTCATTGTTAGGACAATTCTCTTCTACAAAGTCTTTTATATTGATAGTTTCACGATGTTGGTGAACTATAGGGCCATGTCCGGTTAGCATCTCTAAAAGGACTATACCATAGCTGTAAATGTCATTTTCTTGAGTTATGGTGCCTTTGAAGCCTTCTGGAGCCATATAGGCGTGTGATCCCATTGGTGATGAAGTCATGCAGGTAGTATTGTATTGCTTGCCTAATCCAAAGTCACATATCTGAAAAAATATTAAAATTTAAACCATTTATTGATGCCTTGAGTGAAAACTTTGGCTACGCATTTTTTCATAATTTAATTATTTAAATATGTTTTTTATTTGAGTAATGTAGCATCCAAGAGAGGTATAATTTAACTAATTGAAATGAATTAGCATGGTTTGACAACATGTTTACAATATAACACAAATATTTCCTGAAAAAATAAATCCAAATCACATACGAGGTATAGACAACATCATATACTTGCAAACAAAGTTAAAAGGAAAATTAATAAATCAAAGAACTTAATTGGCAATAAGGAAACCAAACTTTTGTAATTTCATTTCACTACTGTAGTCAATTAGCAGGCCACAGTTACTGCAGACATAGGAAGATGTAAATATATTTTAGTACACGCAAAATATGACAATATATGAAGCTACATACCTTTGGCACGAAGTCCCTAGTCAATAAAATGTTGGCTGTCTTGATATCACCATGTACAAAATTTCCAGTTTTAGAAAAATGCTCTGAATCATTTGCTTCATAATCAATGTTATCTTTCTTAGATTCCAATTTCTTGCCTCCATGTAAATATTTCAAACCCTCAGCTGTACCAAGCATTATCTTCAAACGTTGTTTCTCTGTCAGTATTTTAGCTGCTAATTTATCTTGCAGAGATCCACCATCAATATATTCACACACAATGCACAGTGGTCCATCTATGGAATACCCGATTATCGGAACTATATTCTTATGCTTAAACTGAGCAAGAAACCTGACTTCAGCATTAAATACTTTTACAGCAATATCAGGTTTTTTATCAAACACTAGGTGTGTACGTGCTTTTTTCACAGCCACCTGTCCATAAATAGTATGAAAACCAGCATAAACTTCTCCAAAACCTCCACTACCAATTTTTCCAGCAAGTTTACCTGACCCACCATTAGGATCAGGAATGTAAATCTTTTTATCAGTAAACCGTTTTGTAATTCTCTCAAGGTCTTTGTAAGGGAAGTCAATTAATTCCTGGTTTCTGAGTATTTCAGAATCTATACCAGCCACATTTGATTTTGTCAGCATTGAATCAATTTTCGGAAGCCAAGTTTGCCATGGGACTTGAGCATCTTGACTTGAGTTGGGTATGTTTCTTCCTTCAGACACCATTTCAGCAGTAGTTTTGTGGCCTAAGGATTCGGCTTGTTCTTTGCCAGGGGCAGTTTTTATTTGAGCTGTACTGTCTGGCTGCTGCAGTGTGGAAGTAGACAATATATCTGTGTCTATTCTTGCTGCAGGCCCGTCTTGGGGTCTTGGTGGGGGAGATTCTGAAAATAACAATAGATTAATGATAACTTGATAACATAAGAGAAAATATTTCTTTAAAGCATATGCAAATGGAAGCGCTCTTTATTAATCTTGACTGTCCATGATTAAAGATATTTTGGCGAAATTTTTTGGTGGTTCTGTTACAAAAGCTGTGTGGTACTGTGCTGTATGCTGTGGCAATTTCATAATTTTATGTAACACGTGACTGCAATGTCATGCCGGAATAAATTCCAAGGAGTAGTTGAATGTCTACTTTCATAACATCCCTCAAGACATTTCTTACCTTGTATCATGCTTGAAATCTCATCAGCAGCCCGGTAAATTGTAGCCTTTGTGCAAACATCTCTCAAAGTAACGAGTGTAGGTCGCACCTTGCCGGAGGTACCCCACTCTTCAAATAATATCTCAGCACACTTCCTGCTACTTGCTCTTGCATGATCTTCTATTTGTCTGCAATAAACAAACCATAAGTACACGAGAGGTATGAACAGAGTTTTAGCCCTCTTGGTTAACGGTTCACGCAACATGACATTTAACTCCCCAACCTGCCAAAAATCCCCTAATTGAAATTGGCTTCTCAGAGCCACATGACCACATTCCATTAAATGTAGCATATCTTTTTGTTACAGAATTTACATAGTGGAGATACTGGTCTTTTTTATTTGATGTTAGAAACTTATTTAGGGTAAGGTGGCCAGTACATAGTCTAAAAGCTAAGATCAATGCATTCCTAGAAAGTACCCCGTCCTCAAACCAGGGCTTTCGCGGTGGACGCAATTCGACAGTGTAAATAGTAGTCATCACAATCGGTTGCATTGCAGGTCGCAATGATGAAGGACTGTCGCCTTCAGACCAGTTATACTATTAATGGTATAAGTGGTACTAACCTGTCCAGTTATACCATTATTTATAATCCAATGGTATAACTGGAATAAACTAGTGCCACCTATACCATTACAGGTATAAATAGGACAGGTCAGTACCATTTATACCATTATATATAATCCAATGGTGTAACTGGGATAAACTAGTGCCACCTATACCATTACAGGTATAAATGGGACAGGTCAGTATCATTTATACCATTATCTATAATCCAATGGTGTAACTGGGATAAACTAGTGCCACCTATACCATTACAGGTATAAATGGGACAGGTCAGTACCATTTATACCATTGTTTATAACCAAATGGTATAACTGGGATAAACCAGTGCCACCTATAGCATTACAGGTATAAATGGGACAGATTAGTACCATTTAGTCTGAAGGTGGACTGTCACCCTGAATAAGCCATCCTAATAATAATACCTCAAGTTTGCAAAAGCAGATCAACAAGTGTCTAAAATGCTATGCCGAAGAAGAATGACTCCTGAATAAAAGGGCCTGATGATGCGCGGTGACTTAGTTTCCAATAGGTAAGTTTTGAATAGATTCAGCTAATGATGATGACTCAAAGTATTTGGTTCATTAATAATACATTACATCATCGTTGAATATTAAGGTATTGCCTAAGTAGGAGAGCATAGAGACAATTTTATTGGTAGAAATCAGACGTCAATTAAGCGTGGGCACTTACCTCTTTTTTACCATATAACAAGCATTATCAAAACTAACTAATCATAATATACATGGTATGGTATTTTGTGATGGGCTGGTGTCTGCAACTCAATGTCAAGGCACCATTTTGCATGTGAAACCATATATGTATATTACTAACATTGTAAACAACTTTTGCTCAATGATTTTTTATAAAACAATTTAGCAAAATATAAACTTTTCAGTTTTTGTTCTACTCTCACACCTTTTTGATCAGTACCGCTAGTACTGCTTTCTTTTGTTACTGCTAGTTAGTTAGGAGTTATCTATTATTTTCGTTAGATACTAAAATCTGATGAATTATGAAAAGTCATGGAACAAAACTTGTTAAGATGTTTAATAAAGCCCTGTGAATATGTTAGTATTTTACAAAACCCTGATTATGTTTTTTGCAAATAAACATAATCAGGGTCAAAAGTACGTCAAATTTCACACATACTATTTAAATTCAACTTTACGACGCTTAATATAAAAGCGATCCAAAGTTGATATTGATGTGCTGGACTGCATAAAGACAATATAAGATTTCTTTAAAAAGAACTCACTTGATGTGTTCGTTATTATATTTTGGTTCGAAATACTCGCTTCGAGGATTCCTGGGTATGAGAGACATAATCTTCTTCCAATCATTATCTGTTTCCAGAATATTCACGATGTTGCAAAGTTTCCCCGCGGGCAACTTACGCAGCTCCGTGTTTTTCTCAAGTAATAACATTTCAAACCACTTTTTTCCACTTCACGGTGAAAACTTCGACTTCTAAACCCGAAAACTAACGATTACAACGCAGTATGAAGCCTGAATTAATCTAAAAACTGGAAATCCCAACAGGAAAAAGTTGACGAAAACAAGTTTTGCATAAATATAGTGAATTTTATGTAAAGGTCGTATGATAGATAAGAATATTGTGTGAGTGACAAACTACTGATACAAACTTTGTCTATCTCTTTTTGAAGCGTTGAATATAGCACAAAAAAGCGGAACACTTGGCATTAAACTTTACATTTTCGAAGATTGTTAAAGTTTATAAGTTTTATAAACCAACAAGCCTTTTAAAGCCCAGCAAATTTGATTTATTTAATAAATATTATAAACGTTGATGACCATTATTTTCTCATGAATTTTTTAAGGTACTTAGTTTGTAAATATTATTGATTTATAGAACAAACAATAGAGTTATATCGAATATACGGGAACGATTTTATGTTTAATTTGTCAAATCTGGACTTAATGATAGTAATACACTTCACACCATGAGAATAATAAGGACACATAAATAATAAAGCTTCATTATTTATTTGTAAAAAAATACTCTACGAACATAATTTATTTATAATTATTTTAAGGTTAAAAATCTATTTGTTGGTGAAAATATTCAGGTAGATTGTGTATTAGTTGCTGCACGTCGGTGAAACGGTGCTGCGCGGTCAGCCGCCGCCAAAGAACGGGACATTCCGTATTGTTGCAACACTGAGAATAAGTGTGACCACAGCACGAATTGCAGATCTGTGGACAAGGACAGGCATTATAAACGGAATGTGGATTCCCTACTGAAGCACAATATTCTTTCTAATATTTGTTTTTTCACAATTCTGTACACTCACTCGCGCAAATTTTACTAAATATAAGTCAATAAATACTACGCAACGTAACATATGTTACTCTGACGCCGAAGTAAGTAACTACAGCACTTGTGTTATGAAAATCGATCACAACGACGGATCACAAACACTCACCCCGAGACAGTGAGTTTTCGACATTATGACCTTGGAGGAACTATAAACTATTGAATATTTTTTCCATAGATGACATATTGACCTCGATTTTCTCAGGTGTTTTGCTTTGAGACTAAACATACGTTCTCTTGCGTACTTTTTGCATTTCTTCTGTTGTTTCTTTCTTTTTCTTTTATGGTAAACAACTTAGAATAATAACGCATAGAAACCTAGCCCGCACACGCTAAGTGAGGCAAATTGAAGCGCTCCCAAAGGGCCTACACGAGCGGGCGGGCCTTCAGAGCTCAAGGTCAACTTGCACCGCGAACAGCTCCAGAATTTTAGCTAAAAATGACGAAATGTGCTGCTGTAAATGAGTGTAAAAATACGTCAGATAAACATAAAATAGATACTAACATCAAATTCCACAAGGAAGTAACGCGTTTCAACTTGTACTTTTATATAAATATTCACTAAAACCGAAAATTAACCTACTACTAAAACTAGCCTACATGAATTTGATTTTTGCCTCACTTGTGACAGTTCGTTTGATATGAAACTATCATTCTATGCGTTATTATTCTAAGGTAAACAACTAATAGCTACTAGTTGTCAAGGCACGAGACGTGAAACAACTTTGCTGCCGAGCGAAACACACAACTTTTCACTTCACTATAGCGAAGGAAATGGCAGATGAAAGAAAAACAGTTGGAACTATAACAAATCAGTTTTATTCATTCACACATCATAAATTAGCTATCGTTGTCAATTTAATGTCAACAGTAAGAAGAATAAATTATACCAACGGATTACATAAAAAAATGTACAACATATCGCGTAGTTGAAAGTGTCATTGTTTTTTTTAAATAAAAAACAAAACGTGCACCACAGTCCATCGTCAAGTACGAATTTCAAAACCCTAAAAAGAAACCCGAAAAGTACTTACCATATGACAAGAAGCGACGCAAGTATCGGCGTGGCTACAGCGAGTCATCAGCGCGGCGATGGCGGTCCGCCCGCCGCCCCTCCCCGCGCAGGCGGCGCACAGCGCCTGCACGCCCGGCGCGCCGCACAGGGCGCAGCGCCTGCGCCACATGTACCGCGCGATACCTCCTCGGGTCTGCTTTTGGACGGCCTCGCGCGTGTGCCCTACTTCAGCCCACCTGTTGGGAGTTAATAATAATTCATCCCACAATATCTCCACTGTATGGTCGACGACCGACAATCTGCCGTCCACTAACTAAAACGCAGCAAGTGACAAATGGTCAATAAATAACTAGTTATTATTGTTAGCTTCAAACGAAAAAGCGTTTAAGTGAAAAAGCGTTTAAAAAAGCACGCTTTTTTTAAAAAGCGTAACGTTTAAACGTTTTAAAAATAAGCAGTTTTTCCCATCTTTAGCTCCGACGCAGCAGCGGGCGGCGGCGGCATGGCTTTGTTCTCTGGCACGGCGACGAAAAACAAATCACAGGTCGGGGGTGGGGGCGCGGGCGCATACGCGAAATTGCTGTTTGCATAGAGAGACAGTGCACTCGCGACCTTGGTCTGGTCTACGCAATAAGTGGTGATGGTGTGAGACAAGCTATTGAAATGTTCCCAAATCGGAGTTTACGCGGTTGCACACACACTTTAAAACAAACAAATACAAATTAAAACAAAATGTACTGTGCTGTGCTAGACTATGCATTGTGGAAAACGGTGGACATTTTGAACACTTGCTCCGTACCACGTAAGTGTAAATGAAGTGTAAATAACTAAAAAATCAATCATTATCATTTATGATAATTATATATTAAATGTTAACTAGTTATCATAAACTATCTTTTGTATGTAAAACATTTCGATGAAAACATTTAGTTCAAGTAAAAAATAATTAACATAAGCTAATACGTAATCACTTTAATAACAGCTTTTTTCATCATAACATAAATAAGTAGGTGAGTAACTTAGTTTTTATTTTCTAGAGAGTGAGGTGCTTTGTCGGTCCTAAGCCCGCGAAAAAGTAGGAAGGGAGATGTGAAATCATTGTTATTGTTGCTGCCTCACTCGGCGCTCGCTTGGTAGTATTCCCATTGCACTCGAAATCAAGCGTAAAGGGAATCGGTTTATTCCTATGTACACTCCGAAACACATTTGTTGATTTATTTTTTGTTCTCTCCCATGTCCTAATTTTATTTTAGTCTATGTTAAGTTGTAACATGATTTACTATGACATGTATGAATAGGTCTCACTTCCAAATATACAGCCTGTATTATTAAACAATTTCCATATTCTAAAACTGGGTTATGGTTTTTTATGATATCTCAAAAAATATTTTGTTACTTAGCCGTTTTTTATGTAGAGAACAGCAGCAATGCTCTCCATCAGTAGTTTAAACCTTAATGTTGTAAGTTAAATCAGTTCACGTACTCATTTGAATCACAAATCCATCAAAATGTATCATTATCAGTAATCACTTTACTTTTATCAGTAAGCAATTAAATTATACTTATCAATTTTATTACCAAACTATCATTTTATAAGATTACGGATACACCGTACATCTTTGTTTGTTCTTCGAGCCAGATTTAAACCAGGCACATGGATCACCAATTAAAGGGTACTAAGGAATTCCCCATAATAATAAGATGCAGATAGAAGAAGACTCAAGGTTCTTTTCCACCGGCGAGGCGAGACGAGACACGAAACGAGGCGAGATGAGAATTGAAATTTGTCGACAAAGTTTCAATTCTCTCCTAGCACATCTTTTTTAAATTTTATTTTAAAGGTACACAAACAGAACGTAACCATGTTAACAGATACAGTTTGATACATTAACAACACATTCCAAAAACTGTACACAGCATGATAAAATTAAATTTTAGTGTAAAATTACAATATCCAAATATAAAACGAAGAAAACAAAAATGTTAAACAATAAAAATATAAATTTACAGATTTGTTAGAATAGTAATACAGTATACTGTTATATTGTTCTGTAAAACAAAAAAATATTAAAAGCTAAAACTCAAGCGAAACACGTAATTGCGTCTTCTATAAATTAATATTCGAATTAAAAACATCCAGATGAACAAACATCTTCGGTAGAAATTGTCTAGATCGACGAGGATGAGCGAGACGAGACTTGAAATGTTTGTTGGTGTATTATAATACTATATTTTATACTCTGCAACGGAAACACGATTACTCGTGCGAGTGCCCCGCACGGTCTCGCGGTGGCTATTAATATCAATCGCGAAATGTGCAGTGCGTAAGTTTTAATAAAAAAATGGTTTAATCGGATTCTACTTTCGTTAACATATTTAATAATAAGTACAGGACATGTGATTACTACCGCGTATTTATATCTAGATGAACTGAACAACACTAAATCCATACAATCCACAATACCATCACGATCTCGCGCGAGCTGTTAATGGCAATTAATGATGGAAATAGGCTAACGAGATTTCTATTATCGTCTCGCCTCGCCGGTGTTGGAAAACTACCTTAAATGGGCTCTTATAACAACACACCCTCAACATATTTTGGGACTGGGAATTCTCATTTAAAAATTCTGACACCGTATATTATTATTAGTCAAGTACATTTTATTAAACAATAAGTTGTTTTTTTTTTTTAATAGCGTAAGATTTTTCTCAGGCTTAGTACTTTCGGCGAGTTATTATAAATTATTGGCTCCATTAAACAAACACTTCTATGTAACGTCACACCCTGGACACTCCATAGAACGGTCGAAAATTATTTACCTACTACTACTACATACAGCAAGGCGCTATCTGCACAAATGTGTGCGTGAAGTGGCAGGGTTACCCATCCCTTGCTCGTACTATTATGTCACGTGGTCAGAACGGCAACATAGCGAAAATTCTAACGCGAGTCTGTTATCTGTAATTCTATTATAGAATCCTAATAATTACACATGTTCATTACGTATTTATATCGACATAATATTATATTTTCCATTAATTCACTACCTAGAATAATATTGAAGATTTATTTAAAAAAATATATTAAAAGCACTTAAATTGTTATATTTCGGACAGGTATTTTTAAATAAGGTAACCAAAGTATTTCAAATTGCATGTCCAACTTTATCTAGTTAATAATAGGTATATTCACGTAATATTTATCGGCAATAAAAATTGAAAATTCGAGAACCCTTGTCTAGCTCACGAAGTTATGGCGTCTCATTATATTGATACAATAAACCTGTGTTACCTATATATTACTCTGCACTAAACACAACAATAACTGAATGAGTCTCAGACATAAGTTTATTTACTTACTACGTTTCATCTTTCAAAAAACGAAAGAAACTCCTCTCTTTATCCCGTTGAGATGATTATCACACAGCACAATTCACGACCATTATAAATAGTAACATAAAATGATGTTATATATTAACGTACAAATTTCGTACTGAATAAATGAAAACTATATTCAAATATCAAAGCCGTCTTAGCGCGAAAACGGCTCGCCGACAACCTTGTTCTCGATTAGTCAATGTGACCGTCAATGTGCGGGGCGTGGTGCAGTATCTAAAGCTAGGGAGGGGCGGAGAATGTCCGTTCTCATTACTTATTTGTTCCGTGCTACTGCCTCCGTGGCCGAACGGTTACCATGATGGTCTGCCACGCAGAGGTCCCGGGTTCTTTCCCGGGTCGGCAGAAATATTTGTATGGCCTACATCGATTTCCTTCGTGAGTGTAATTTGTGGTTGTCTATGTGTGTGTCTGTGATTGTGTGCCCTATACTATATAATATGCATGAAGGTAGTTTTACAATCATTCAAAAGCTTTTTTTAATGTGAAACAGGTGGCCTATATTGCTATGTAAGAATTTCTTCCAGGTAATATGCAAAAGGCGTACAACCAAAGAATATGGTCACAAATACATTACATAATAAGTACTAACAAAATAAATCGTAAGATGTGCCGCGTAACTCACCATTTAAACACGTTGACGCCAAGGAGCGACAAACATCTATGCAGCGGCGGCAATAGCACCCTAAGTGCATAGTACGACACGTGGGGGGTCAGTCCACTATCGGCCACTAACTCTTCTGGGGTCCTAGCAAGTTTGACTAACGGGGCCCCGGGGGGTCCCGCACATACTTGCCACGCTACACGTTCGCCGGAGCGAGGAACCGCTCTACGATCGCGGGAAGCTATTCGTCTAAAAATACAATAAATTCATTAAATATCTCACCCTAAATAATAAAATGACTTTTTCTAATCCTGTATTTTAATCTGTCAAATATAATTTCATAAACCATGTCACAAAGGCGCAAATTTTTTTTTACTTTCATACTGTAGTAGTTAGTTTTAGTAGCCTTTTTAAAAAAATTGCATTTAAAACTCAGTAATAATTATAATAATTCATGCTTAGGCTGATGGCTTAGCCAAAGCCTCAATAAATTTAAAAAAATCACATAGGGATTCTTCCTAGTTCTGAACCAAAATTCTATTGCCTATGGTACTCGCTACTGAAATGAAAAATAAAAAAAAGTTGTATTTTTGCTAACTAAAATATCAAATATGATAATCGTAATGCTACTCAAATGTCCTACTGCCTCCCGATTGGTTAAAATATAAGCGGTACTTGGCCACTTCTATATCTCTTTGGTACGAGGTGAAACACGTGTCGGGCATATTTTTAGTGGTGGGATCTGTTACTTGCAGGCATTGACTTACAATTATATGGACGTCGGGTCCGCGCTAAAAAGTGTCCGCACTTGTAAGGCGCTAAAATCGTATACAGAGCGCCAAACTCCGCTTTAGTCTTCATTTGTTCGACTGACAGCGCGATACTGCGATGACATTACAATTTAAATTTCGAATAGGTTCACTTGGGACATTTTTTACGTGGTTTTTGTATTAGACCCGTCGTCCATTTATTTGTAAGTCAATGCTTACAGGTGCGTTTGTGTTATTTTACTAATTTGAAGCGGAGGGAGGGTGGGTAAAATTATGAAAAAAAAAACAACACAAGCGCAGTTATTGTGCACGATTTAACCTCCTTTGGTTTTGCGGAGTAGCAAATTAATTTAGTTCCATTTTTATTAATATATTGTATAAACTAACTTGGCTATCTCATTAGGTGGAGCAGCGGCCCCAGGCCTGTACCCAGCAGGACCGTGATATTCCCTCGTGAAGAAAAGGTCCTGCGGTGGCAGTGAGCCGTCGGCCAACTTGCATAGAGTCGACATTACCATGCGCTTTACACGCGACATGTCGCCGTGGGAAAATAGCTCGATGAGGGAACGTTGCAGAATCTGAAATTAATTGGGAACGGTATACAGAGTGTTTTTTTGTGAGTTGTGGACAGTATGGGGAAATCCAAAACCATAGAATACAAGGAAACTATCTTATGAACCATTTTTTTGCGAAAACATTTCATTTTGGTAATGTAAATTTCTTGGCCCATAAAAATGAATAAAATTGATCAAATTTTTTTTGTATTATTCAAATCAATTTCACGAAGGGTTCATTTTATTGTATAGGACGAAAAAAAATCGAGACAGCCGAAGTTGGTCAAATTTCATAAAATATTTTGTCGTACAAAATTAATAAAATTGACTGGTTTTTTTTTTATTAATGTTAATAGGCTCAGTTTCTTATAAGCATTATTTCACTGTGTGGGAAGAAAAAATCGGGACAGCAGAAGTTGGTCAATTCAAAATTGATTTTTCATACTGTTATGGGGTGGTTGGGATCTACCTCCTAGCGGTCCACCCCGGGCAACGACACTACTTGTATCAATAACATCTAGTGACGGCTGAATGATCCCACTTTGCGGTGGTAGGTTCCGCAAGGGACCGACTGGCTTGCTACCACCCTCCCGTCGAAGCCAGGCGCCAAGCAGTTTGCTGCGTTCCGTCTGCATGCGGGAGTACCAGTGCCTTTGGGGAATTAGAGGGTGTCTGTTGCGTCGCTTAGTAACGGGTTTTAGGACTCTCAGCTGACTGTCCCCGGTGACTAATTCTGGAGGGTAGCGGGACCGCAGTGTTCGGTTCCAAGTAGAGCCAATTTGGAAAATGAACGGTTCTGGTTAGTGCCGGGAGTGTATTCCGTTGCTCTGGTACTCTGGAGATTTGGTAGTTGACTTCTAAGTCACTTGACTCTAGTCAAAGGGGTGGCAACCGTTAGTTGCGCAAGGTGCAATGGAAACGTGCAATGGGAATGAAATGGGAGAGTGCCTACAGCTCCGGTACCTATCTGGAAAATAGGTAGGGTACTGTACGTGCACCCGGGACGGCTAAGTCAAGGCACTAGCCTTTTGAGAACCGAATGAAGGGAGGACATGATCCTGATTGAGAAGGTCAGGTTATATTGCTCTTCCCACATAACCAAGAATTTGATAGGGAGCGTCACTTTAAACAAAATTTATATGAAAGATATGGGGCTGCTGTGGCACTCGTAGCACAAGGAATTCTCTACTTTGAGACTAGATTTGGCCTGGCACATTATTATTATTATTATATGAGATATGAGGATTCTTTTTATTATTTTTTTACGCTACTATGGTATTAATGAAGTGCAGAGGTTTCCGAACTATTTAGCTCACCGCCCACTTAGGCAAGACAAAAAAATTCAATGCCTATCGCCACAAAAATACTTTAAAACATGTTTTTTTTTATATTAACTTAACACAAAAAACAATTACACATATCGCACTGCTATTACAATAGTGTTGTATCAATATTATATCATTACTGAACTTGAAATTTAATTCTCTACCCGTCAATGAAACAGTTGTTAAAATGTAAGAAAAAATTAAAAGATATCTACTTAACTCCTAATGAGTCAGGGCGCGTTCCCACTATGTCGTGACGACAGATTGTCCTGCAGTTTTACAGTGTCGTGGCTTGTATATTTAATTGAAGTTGTTCACATACAGCACGACACGATTAACTGTCGTTCACGATTTTTTATCGTTACAACGACAAACTGTCGTCACAGTGGGAACAGCTAGAACGACAGTCGTCCGACGATAAAAAAACGTCACGATAAAAACGTGACGACAGATTGTCGCAGCTCCTATTGTCACGTCACGTTATATTTTCTTTTCTTTGTTTGCTTCCTATTCCGCATTTTTAAAAGTAATATATTATTAAAATTTCGTCTTCATCCATTTCGAGCGAACACACAATACTGACTTCCAAAAGAACATACAAGCGACTGCAGTGCCTCATGTCATGCAAACGACAAGGCGAGACAATGGCGTGAAACGATAAATTGTCGTCACGATCTAGTGGGAACAGTTAGTCACGACAGTCGTTCAACGATAAAAAATCATCCACGACAGATAGTCGTGATATGGGAACAGGCTAGACACGACAGTCGTCTAACGATAATAAAACGTGATGACATAGTGGGAACACGCCCTTACACTTTATGCGATTTAGTTCAGGCCAAAATAGTCCTTATTAAAAAATGTGAAATATTTTTTCCAATTTATTTTTAAATATATTTGGCAAGTAGAAAATTGTTTAAGTGTCTGTAATAAACTATAAACCATACATACATTTTAATGATCTTTCAAGGGAAGTAATTCGTTTTTCATCGTTTCTGAGAAAATACACTTTTCGAGTTATTTACTTACTTGACTATTTGTATTGAGAGTGCGATATGTAGTGTAGTTTATACAGATAATACAGGTTTTATTTTCTAATGCGGTAGCAACCCCTGGACAGTATCAACAACCCCTGGGCAGTATCAACACCCCCTGATTACTTCCGATGCCGCTACCGCCCCTCTCAGGACTATTCAGCGCCCATTGGGGCACGATAGGGACCACTTTGGGAAACTATGATCAAGTGCAACAGCCTGACACTTCAGATTTAAATTCAACTCTAGACCTGTTACAATAAAAACGGTCCAAAGTGTTTCATGTCGTCTTGATTCTACTTAAAACTAGAAATTCCTTTTTATAGCTTCGGTATTATAATGGTTTCTGAGCTAAAAGTATGATGGGACTCAAATCACCTTGACTCCAGCTGGGCAGCCATCGCGCCTCACGGTTTCAATTCCTTTCGCTTCGTATACAGGTTTCTCTTGATCGGGACTCTCGTACATATAGCCTACATATCGTTTCTTGGTCTGAAAGACAGGAAGTCAAATATAGTGTTCAGTAGGGTTGGCACGACAGGGTGCGGCTTGCGCGAGATCTCTATGCGAGAATAGCAGTATGTCGCGCTTTATACCGCTCTTGCTCAAGTCGCGTCGTCGGGCTAACCCTACTTTAAAGGACAACCGAATACGTCTCAACGCTGGGCACAGAGGTTTAGACCATAATCCGTCTCGCTGACTGTCAGAAGGGGTTTACACTGGAGAACGGGAGTTACACAATTACACAAGTCTCTGCTGGGGGTCGATTCAGGACCTTACGATAACTCAGTTGTCGACCGATTTCTTTCCATTTTTATTCACAACACCCGAATCGAACGTCAAACTGTAGTATTCGAAACTTAACCGAAATGACGTCACACCCGTACGGTTACTCGAACTTCTCGACCGGCAAACGTTACAAACGTTATTCAGAACACAATTATCGAATGAAAGTTAGGGCGTGTTCCCACTATGTCGTGACGACAGATTGTCGTGCAGTTTACAGTGTCGTGGCTTGTATATTTAAATGAAGTTGTTCACATATAGCACGACACGATTAACTGTCGTTCGCGATTTTTTATCGTTACAACGACAAACTGTCGTCACAGTGGGAACAGCTAGAACAACAGTGGTCGGACGATAAAAAAACGTCACGGTAAAAACGTGACGACAGATTATCGCAGCTCATATTGTCGTCACGATCTAGTGGGAACAGCTAGTCACGACAGTCGTTCAACGATAAAAAATCGTCCACGACAGATAGTCGTGATATGGGAACAGGCTAGACACGACAGTCGTCCAACGATAATAAAACGTGACGACATAGTGGGAACGCGCCCTTACCGAACGTCCTATTGTTTACAAAGCAAAAATGTAAATATGTCTGGATTTTGATTAATTTATTTTAATGCAAGACTGATGCATTCCTATATTTTAGGTCTTTAAAGTCTTAAAAATGTATGTAAAAGGATTTGAATTTTCCTTCAGTCCGCAGAATACGTGAGCTTACCGATGTTAGTACTGCTAGACTAGTTTACTTTAGTTACTTCCATAGCATAATGTCCTACGGGATTCTCATGTGAGGTAAAGCGATTCGTTCTGTGTACCGTCTAGGCTCTCGGGTTTCTCTCAGAGAAAAGTTTAAGGAGATTGGTATCATGACTGTGGCATCACAGTACATTTAGTCCAATATTTTATATGCCCGTAAAAATATACATAATTTCAATAAGAAAGAAGATATCCATAATATTAACCTTAGAGCTAAATCCAAACTCATGGTACCACGATTTCGTTTAACCAAGGTAAACAACTCTTTTATGGGGAACTGTATACGATTTTACAATAAGATTCCGGAGCATATATTAAGTTTATCATTTCCTAAGCTTAAAAACTACATTAAAAATATTTTGATCGAAAAATCATATTACAAA